GGACCCTGACAGGGAATATGAGCCCATATACCCTGTGAAGCCAGAGTGTCCTGATTTCAACATTATATACCATTATGATGTTCGTTTTTGTTCACAGGGTAAATGGATCGGCAGTCTTCGCTGTGGTTTACTGTCACTACAAACCAGTAAAAGTCTGAAATGGCCTATATCTGTACTCGACTGTACTGATTTTTACTCGACCAGTCTGAATTGGTCTGAAACTTACTTGATAATACTCGACTGTAGTCTGAACCATACTTAACAGTCTGAACTTGTACTCAACCTTTACTCGACCAGTACTTAACCATTTTATACGCGTCTGAACCATGCTCGACCTAGTCTGAACCATACTCGACCTAGTCTGAACCATACTCGGCCAAGTCTTAACCAACCTAGACCTATTTTTTGTATCTATCTATTGTATTTCATCAATTTAGGAACTGTTTTTAACAACAGCTATTTCCCCTGGCTAGAAATTTGAACAACAACTTGAAATTAAAAATGTATTCAATATACATGATATAGCATTGTAACCAAAATTTCACAATAAACATAATATAACTTCATCACCATATTCATCAACACTTATATACATACATATTAACCTTTAAAATAAAAATAAAACAAGCTGATCAAATAATCTCAAAACTGAATTGTGACTAATATTTTCAATGTTATTCAAAATTTTTTGAATGTTTCCAATATATTTTATGGTTACTGGGCAATTTTGACCATTAACTTAAGCCTCGTATAGATTTATGGTGTCAGTTGAGTTTAGTTAATAATGCAGTGAGTATTTTTTTATTAAAATATATATAAAATAGCATATAAAGCAACTCAATAAATTTCAAAAATGACACCTTTGTTTTGTTAAACCAAGAATTTAATATAATCATGATAATCGAACTTCCATAGTAATCCGGTGATAAACTTTTAAAAAAGGAAATGTGTTCCAAAGTTACAGTAAAAATTTATTTCAATTAAATTTAAATAATTTTTGTCAAAAGTAAAGACATGGTATATTAGAAGCACTTTAATAAGGTTTAATTACCTCAGTACATGTGTGTTTTACAGGTAAAAAGAAAGCCCTATTTTTCTTAAACTCGTGTATTACTTACCTATAGCTAGTGAATTCAAAAGGCCTTGCGATTTAAGTTTCACAGGATGTTGCAATTTTGAATGAATGTTATTTAGAATTTAATACTCTCTGACCAGGTGTGATCTTTTTCATGAGTTTGCCCCAAGCAGGGGGTATTACTTTATACTTCACCACTAATCAGAAGAACAATTTTATTAATTTTTATCCCTTTTTGATATATATTGTATATAATATATCCCAAATTATAATAATAGATATATTTCTAAAATAAGGTTAAACAATTTCAGTGATTTTGTTGGCTGTTGTTACCTCATTAAAAAGATAATTATACAACTATTGTACATTTTTTGTATGTAACCATGAAACCTATGTATTTTTTATTTAGGAATTTTGGAAAATTAATTTAAAAAAAAAACACATGCCAAACAAGAAGCACCTTAATAAGGTTTAATTACCCTCAGTATAGGTGTGGTTTTTAGGTAAAAGAAAATCTTTTTTTAACAAAACTCTAAAACTTTAAAATTAATATAATTAAATTATTATATAAGATAATTTGATTTAACTATCTCTATTCGATAAATCTGAGAATATGTAAGAATGTAAAAATCTGTTTTTATAATATATCTTTATTTTATTGTGGCTGTTATGTCAGTTAAAAAGAAATTGATTTTAACAGTTAAAATTTAGAAAAAGCAGAGGTTATATGGTCAAGTATGGTTCAGACTGGTCGAGTATTGTTCAGACCTTTGGTCGAGTATGGTTAAGACTGAAAAAAATAGGTCGAGTACAGGTCGAGAATGGGTTAAGACTGTTTCAGACTGGTCGAGTAATAGTTCAGACTATTTTCAATGGCAAAGATAAGGGTCAAGTACAAATCAGTACAGTCGAGTATGGTTAAGACTGGGGTTGAGTAATGTCGAGTAAAATTCAGACCAATTCAGACTGGTCGAGTAAAAATCAGTACAGTCGAGTACAGATATAGGCCATTTCAGACTTTTACTGGTTTGTAGTGTGTTAAATGACTATTTTAAACCTTCATTTTCTAATCAGTCGTTCAGTGTAATGAGGCCCAGGCCAGCAGTCATTCATGACTCAGATTGAGTACTTTCGTGTTCTTCAATAAGAGGATTTAAAGATTTTTGTATTGTTTTCAACTGCTTCCAGGAAAATATGACTAATCTCCCGACAAATCTGACAAATAAGTCTACAGAAATACAAAATAAAGGTCTTAAAGGAACAACGACGGAGTAATGAGTACTTATATATCTTCATCAGTTATGTTTAAAAAGTTAGGATGGCTTACCATTTATAATAGAATTAAATATTTTATGATAGTGATGGTTTATAAGTGTATGAATAATCTAGCACCTGAATATTTATCTTAACTTTTTTCAAGTTGTTCAGTTGTTAATAAATACGCATTAAGATCATCTTCCCAAACTAATATATTTGTTCAACGATATGAACGAGAACGACTGGCATTGAGGACTGCCGAGTTCAGGTCAAAATAGGTCATATGAATAAGGGTTGGTTTAACATTGAATTTTTGTCTGGTAGACAAAAATTAAATTCAGGTGTAAATGTAACATAAAATATTGTCTGGGCTATTTTATAATGAAATACTGCCAAGGACAAAATTTCATTATGAAACAGTGTCCTTTTCATGAAATTTTGTCACTTCGGTCTTGACAATATTTCACTATGAAATTCTGTCCATGACAATATTTCACTATGAAATTCTGTCCATGACAATATTTCACTATGAAATACTGTCTATATGACATCATTTCCTTGTGAACTTTCTGTCCATGACAATATTTTACTGTGAAATACTGTCCATGAAAATATTTCTTAATCAAACTATTACAAAATTTAAAATCGCCCTAAAATGGGCGTATGACATTTGCGCCGATTGAAAAAAATTTCGATCTTTCATTTGCGCCGATTTGATTCTTTCATTTGCGCCGATTGGCACAGGTAAATTACGGGTGAATGTTATTTTTATTTATCAATATAACACTCTTAGCTATAGTCAACATGTTATGAATGGTCAATTATAACATGTATATAGCTGTTGTCCCCTGCAAATAGATTGTTGTCGTTTTCATCTGGCTCAGAACTGGTGAAGGAAAACCCAGTCTGTTGGGCTAAGTACAGAGTATAAAGACAAATCAAGGGACACTGATAAATGGCTATTGCATTTTTTCGGGCTACCATGATTCCTTCCCCCAGATGAAATCGAGGACTGCTTCACGTTTGCCAGTATGTCTGACGCTCCTTCTGATGACAAATGTCATGCATTCTTAGACTACGTATGAAGCACTTATATATGCTCAACTTCATGTTATCCACCTTATTTCTGCGCAGCTGCGCCCGTTGAAAACTGTAAGGGGACGAATGACAGTCCAGAATGGTTTCAATCGCATTACAATAAACAGTTCTATTCGCACCACCCTAACATATATTTTTACGGGTGTCATCAAGAAAATCCAGGCCGTGGTGGGCAGGGGACAACTATACTTGACAATTCATAACATGTGAACAACTGGCTTACGGAAGAGGTTTATAAATGATAAATAAGAAATAACATTCACCTGTAATCTACCTGTACAAAATCGGCGCAAATGAAAGACAAAATCGGCGCAAATGAAAGAAAAAAATCGGCGCAAATGCAAAACGCCGTTTAAAATAGTACACAAGCATGCAGCATGCACATTTTTAGATTTATAACTGAAATTATTTTGTAAAGTAAGTATTTTATATATATCAAACTAATATTTATTTTAACATAAGCTCATAAAAATAGTACACAAGCATGCAGCATGCACATTTTTAGATTTATAACGGAAATTATTTCGTAAAGTAAATATTTTATATATATCAAACTAATATTTATTTTAACATAAGCTCATAAAAATAGTACACAAGCATGCAGCATGCACATTTTTAGATTTATAACTGAAATTATTTTGTAAAGTAAGTATTTTATATATATCAAACTAATATTTATTTTAACATAAGCTAGTATAAAATTTGAATAGATACTTTATAAATTAAAGAAATGTCTAACGTATGTTCCATTTTACTACATTATACTGTATAAATATAAGTAATGTACTGACAATCACTTATTAATGTTCAAAATTTTAAATGTACTAATAGTATTCGTAAATACTAGATTGACAAATCTTTTTGCGACAGCGTTTTGGAGGTAAAGTAGTACAATGTAACTGGAATATTAATTTAATTGTGTTTTTTATGTTATTATTAGTCAAATAAAACACTTTAATGATATCATTATCCAACATGATATCTGTTGATAACCTCCCCCTTCATTAGACAAAATTTCATGACAATCTGTCTGAAATATTGTCTCAATACACACAAAATATAACCTCCCTTTAACAGGAAAAAATTTCATAGTATTCATCTGTGAAATATTGTCTATATACATACAAAATTTTACTACGGAAATATATCCTACCCTGGGCATTTTTTCATAGATAAGGACAATATTTCACGATACATAGTCATGAAATATTGTCTTGGAGGACAATATTTTATAGGACAATATTTTGCTTTACATAAATCGTTAAAAAGCTTCTAAATGCTATATGGAAAGTAAGCAGTGATGGTTTTATTTATACTTTTAAAATTCAGACCAATTAACTTTTTGTACACTGAAATCCGGCATATAGATTAAAAACATTTTTTAAATGAAAATCGTAGCTACTATCCGTTTAATATTAAATGGACCTTCCTATAAATATCAAATGTAGGACTGTTATTCCAAGGAAGAATCGAAGCACAGAACATCGGGAAAGATCGGAGAGCCTACATTCTTGTTTGGATTATACAATTTCCGGAAAAAATATAACCTTCTTTGATTCTAAATGTAACTTTCATTGTTTACTTCCGACATGTAGAACGCACGTTATTTTTCTTTCAGTTCAAGTGTCAGTTGTGATTTTGTGTGGTGAACAGAAACCTTTATGTCAAAATGAGTAAATGTCCCATTTCATGGTAAGTTTAAGGAAGTAGCAAATTTTTCCTGTCAATCATTTTACAAATACAATTTAGGTATGCCTTATCACTAAGTTTTTTAAGATAGCTTTGTGAAAGTAATAATGTCTCCATCTCTTGTCGTTTTGGGTCCGTTCGCCCTGAATCCGGGTCCGTTCGCCCAAAAAGACGTTCGCTCCCATTCACGTTCGCCCCTTTCACGTGTTCGCACCCTAAACGTTCGCACCCCGGGTCCGGCGTTAGTGTGAGCCAAAATTTGTTCCTGTGAAAAAAGTTCCAGTGGAACTAATATCACAGGAAATATGTTCTGGGAGAACTTTTTTCACAGATGATTTCTATATAATTTGTTCCATCTCTATAAAATAAGTTCCACACTTTACCTGGTGAAATAAGTACCGGGTTGGTGAAATTTGTTCCTTACCTGGTGAAATAAGTTCCGGGTTTATGAGATATGTTCCTTATCTGGTGAAATAAGTTCTGGGTTTGTGAGATTTGTTCCTCACCTGGTGAAATAAGTTCCTTGTCTGTGAAATATGTTCCACTGGTTAAACAAGTTATCTTATATACTGAGCATTTGTCATCAGTGAGTTTAAAGTTATCATTCAAGTGCATTATAAAAATGAGTATTATATCAATAATAAAAAAAAGTACAAAGTGTAAATCATCCAATTCGAATCCTGTGGAGTATAGCAAATGCTTAATTATATACTCCATAAAAAATATCAAAATGACACTTTTCATCCAGAAAAGAGTAGAATAAGAAAAATCAATCATTCAGAAAAAAAGTATAATTAAAGATGAAAATATGTACTTATTTGAAAAGGACAAAGTGACTGATCAGTTATATCAAAAGACATGTAGAAACAAAAGACACACTCTTTTGAAACTGTGCTAGCTATGACCTAAGTACATGTATGACTAGAACACGGGGCCATGACAGTTAACAAAAATTAAAAACCAAGGAGGAATACGATCCACATAAAACATAAATACAAATTATGATACATTACCATCGCTTTTATTTCTTATCTTCATCCTTTAGTTACAGTCATGCCTTCAATGTGCAAATCGTTTAAAACAAATATCACAGGAACTTATTTAACTTTTTAAAACTCTTAATATTAATTGGAACAAAATTCATGGAGCTATGATTTTTGTTCCGGAACTTATTTCACATTTGGTCATAAAATTAGTTCCGGAACAAATTTTACAGTGCTGGAACATATTTTCTGTGATATAAAGTCCAGTGGAACATATTTCCTATGAAATTTGTTCCAGCGGAACAAATGTCACGCCGGAACAAATTTTTTGTTACATTAGCACCCTTTTTATTGGTTTTTTTAATCTTTTTTTTGGTTAGTGTATTGCTATTAATATTTTTTTTGTTCATTGTTTCAAAATGAAGTGACTTTCTTAAAATGATTTTTGTGTTGAATAATTTTTTAATCGTGTTTTGGTTATTGTATCCTACCGTAGTCTATAATCGGTCATCATGTCCCACTTTTTTTTCGATTATATGTAAATCACAATTTCACATTACTACATACATGATATGCACATGAAAAAAATTTCTATGTAGCATTTTATTTTAAAAATTTTTCAAAGATCAGCTGTTTTGCATGTAAGCCTATGGAGCAGTCAATTACAAGACTGCAACCTGCATAGGGGAATTTTTTCCTATGTTCACTGCAAGGAAGAAGCTCATGTGGACTTTTGTGTGCCCAGAATGACAAAACATCATGATTTAAGTACTTTTTAAGAAATAAAAATCATGGGGTATCAAGTTACACTGAAAAAACTGAAATTATGTCATAATTATGATTTTTTATACAAGACACCATACAAAAGTATAAATAGATATACAATGTAAAGCACATCAGTTTGAGGTAAATTGAGATTCTGGTAGTATTACATATATGATTTTCAATTAAAAAGAACATAGAAAGATTTTTTCCTCCATGAAAACTTCTTCTTGTGATGAAAATTCTGGTTGAGCAGTTTCATTGAAAATCAGTGTAAAGTTGAATAGACAGCTAGATACAAAAGTAATTTTTTACTTTAGGGTTATTATTTTTATGGCTATATTGTTGACATTTAGGTAGAATATATATAAAATGAACTTTTGCTGAAAAGTTTTTTACAAAATGTTCACTTTACAAGAGTCTATGACTTCTTTTCCTGTCTGCTGCACTGCATCGTTAATTGAAAATTCCACATTTGGGTTAAAAATTTGTTTAAAAAGTAGAATTTTTCTAATACTATCCATGATGACAAAGATTTTTGTGCTTAGGTGTGACAAGTAATCAATATTCTTACCAAAAACACCAACTTGAGTATTCATTTTGTTTATTCTAGGATTTTATGACAAATTTTATATGCATAGGGGTGTGAAGTACAACCCAAAAACCATCATATAGTAGGCATGTATAAAGACATGTATTGTCAAAAAAGAGAAAGGTATAGTCTTTCTTGTCTTTAAATAGTTGTATTGCAACAAATTCTTCAATATGAAAAAGTTATGGGGTTGTTTTTCAATTTGACTAAAACAAGAGGCCCACTTGGATAGATTTCATGGAAAAAAGGGGGAGGGGTAAAATATTGAATGTGGTTCCATCAAAGAGAAGGTAAAAAATAAAAATGATAAGTAACAATTCTCTTCTAGCTTCACAGTATCCAAATAATTAGTAAACATTCATAAAGAGAAACTAGAATGAGATTTACAGATCATTTCAATTTTGATAGGCATGACTTATTTCCAAATTTTGCCTTGTTTCAGAAAAGGGTACTCCTTTAATAATGGGATTATATTTATAATTACACCTTATGTAAGAATCCTGGGTTTTGATTGGTTCAAAATATAGTTCATTTTTTAACGCCGCCGGGGTATATGCAAAAAGGAAAGCCTTTTTTACCCTCTCTGCCATGGTATTTGCCAAAAAATACTCTATCCGACTGGACGCTTGTAACGTCACGATCATCAATGCGTTTTTGAACGTTAACATTCGGTGTAATTAAACAGATAAAGCATGTTCTTCAGGGGTATTTGCGAAAAATACCAGTCTTGAGAATGAATTTCCCTCTTCTTACGGCTCACGAAATTTAACATTCTCTCGACTGGTATTTTTCGCAAATACCCCTCCTTAACATGATATATCTGTTCAATAATACAACTAAACAATTCTTTTAATGGCATTTTATATGTTCAAATATGGCTACTTAATGAAACAAAATAAATGATTTATTTTTTTAAGACATGTCATTACAGTTATAGGTACCAGTCTTGTATTACAACTCCAGTTTCCGTTGCATGTCAAAACATGGCGTGAAATAAAATAGTCCATTTTTTCTGAATTTTTTTCTGGACTCAATTTTTTCTGTTTGATTAAAAGTTTATGCTGAGTTGAAACATATATTTAGATTTAAAAAAAATCTTATATCTTTTTGGGGATATCAAAGTGAAACCAGGAAAGTGGAAGGATATCATGTTTACTGGAAGTGGTGCGGCCTAGTAAAAACAGCAAACAGAAAGTAGAAAAAAATAGTTTTGACTTCAGGGTTACATAACTTTTTATTCTTCGTGGCACGACCCACTTTTTTTTCGATTAAATCACAATTTCACATTACTACATACATGATATGCACATGAAAAAAAATTTCTATGTAGCATTTTATTTTAAAATTTTTTCAAAGATCAGCTGTTTTGCATGTACCGCGGTAAGCCTATGGAGCAGTCAATTACAAGACTGCAACCTTAAGTGAATGGATCTCTATGAAATTTAGACATCAGGTTTATAACCACAAAAGGAAGGTTGGGAATGATTTTGGGGGTCATGGTCCCAACAGTTTAGGAATTAGGGGCCAAAAAGGGGCCCAAATAAGCATTTTTCTAGTTTCATCACAATAACTTGTGGAACAGTGTATGGATCTCTCTGAAATTATACCACACGTTTCCATACCACAAAGGGATGGTTAGGATTGGCTTTGGGGAGTTATGGCTCAAACCGTTTAGGAATTAGGGGCAAAAAAGTGAGAAAAAAACAAGGGTGTCCTGGTTAATGGACAATTACTTAAGTACAAATTACAGTGTAGGGGAGGTAATTCAAAAACTACTTTGAATTACCTCCCTTACACTGCTTTTAAATTATGTATAAAGAACTTGTGTGTTGTCTTGAGGTGATTAGCTGTCAATTCATTTTTAGCTCACCTGGCCCAAAGGGCCAAGTTAGCTTTTCTCATCACTTAGCGTCCTTCGTTCGTTGTCGTCCGTCGTTGTTAGCTTATTACAAAAATCTTCTCCTCTGAAACCACTGGGCCAAATTTAACCAAACTTGGCCACAATCATCATTAGGGTATTTAGTTTAAAAAATGTGTCTGATGACCCCGCCAACCAACCAAGATGGCCGCCATGGCTAAAAATAGAACATAGGGGTAAAATGTAGATTTTGGCTTATATCTCTGAAACCAAAGCATTTAGAGTAAATCTGACAAAGGGTAAAACTGATTATCAGGTCAAGATCTATCTGCCCTGAAATTTTCAGACAAATCTGACAACCTGTTGTTGGGTTGCTGCCCCTGAATTGGTGATTTTAAGGAAATTTTGCAGATTTTGGTTATTATCTTGAATATTACCGTATACATGTAGCGGGTTATTTTCGCGGGTGTAAAATTTCGCGATTTTCATTAAATAAGGTATACGAAATATTTTGGCGGTTCTCATTTTGGTGGATTCAAAACTTTTATCAATACCTTTGCATGTACACTTTGGAATTAGCGGAATTTATTTTGGCGATTTTGTTCTATCCGCGAAAATAAGCGAAAAAATTTACACCCCGCGAAAATAACCCGCTATACAGTATTATAGATAGAGATAAACTGTAAACAGCAATAATGTTCAGCAAAGTAAGATCTACAAATAAGTTGTCATGACCAAAATTGTCAGTCGACCCCTTTAGGAGTTATTGCCCTTAATAGTCAATTTTTAACAATTTTTTGTAAATTTTTGTAATCTTTTACAAAAATCTTCTTCTCTGAAACTACTGAGACAAATTCAACCATACTTGGCCATAATCAATATTAGGGTATCTAGTTTAAAAAATTTGTCCGATGACCCCGCCTTCCAACCATCATGGCCGACTTGGTTAAAAATAGAACATAGGGGTAAAATGCAGTTTTTATACGACCGCAAAAAAATTTTGAGGTCGTATATTGGTATGATGTTGTCGTCGTCGTCGTCCGAAGACACATTGGTTTTCGCACTCTAACTTTAATTAAAGTGAATGGATCTATATGAAATTTTACCATAAGGTTCAATATCACAAAAGGAAGGTGGGGATTGATTTTGGGGGTTATGGTACCAACAGTTAAGGAATTAGGGGCCAAAAAGGTGCCAAAAATAAGCATTTTTGTAACTTCCAGACATAACTTGTGTGTTAGTGTACGGATCTCTCTGACATTGTACCACAAGGTTCCATATCACAAAGGGAATGCTGGGATAGATTTTGGGGGTAATTGCCTCCAAATTTTAGGAATTAGGGGCCATAAAAGGGCAAAAAAACAAACATTTTTCTAGTTTCAGGACAATAACTTGTGTTCAAGTGTATGGATCTCTCTGAAATTGTACTGCAAGGTACCATACCACAAAGGGAAGGCTGGGATTGATTTTTGGGGTAATTCCCTCAAAATTTTAGGAATTAGGGGCCATAAAAGGGCAAAAAAACAAACATTTTTCTAGTTTCAGGACAATTACTTGTGTGTAAGTGTATGGATCTTTATGAAATTGTACTACAAGGTTCCATATCACAAAGGGAAAGCTGGAATTGAGTTTGAGGGTAATTGCCCAAAATGTTTAGGAATAAGGGGCCAAAAAGGGGCCAAAAATAAGCATTTTTCTAGTTTCCAGACAATAACTTGTGTTCAAGTGTATTGATCTCTCTGAAATTGTACTGCAAGGTTCCATACCACAACGGGAAGGCTGGGATTGATTTTGGGGGTAATTCCCTCAAAATTTTAGGAATTTGGCCATAAAAGGGCAAAAAAACAAACATTTTTCTAGTTTCAGGACAATAACTTGTGTGTAAGTGTATGGATCTTTATGAAATTGTACTGCAAGGTTTCATATGACAAAGGGAAAGCTGGGTTTGAGTTTGGGGGTAATTGCCCTAAAGGTTTAGGAATTTGGGGCCAAAAAGGGCCAAAAAACAAGCATTTTTCTAGTTTCCAGACAATAACTTGTGTTCAAGTGTATGGATCTCTCTGAAATTGTATTGCAAGGTACTATACTACAAAGGGAAGGCTGGGATTGATTTTGGGGGTAATTCCCTCAAAATTTTAGGAATTAGGGGCCATAAAAGGGCAAAAAAACAAACATTTTTCTAGTTTCAGGACAATAACTTGTGTGTAAGTGTATGGATCTCTCTGACATTGTACCACAAGGTTCCATATCACAAAGGGAAGGCTGGGATTGATTTTGGGGTAATTGCCTTCAAATTTTAGGAATTAGGGGCCAAAAAGGGCCAAAAAACAAGCATTTTTTCTAGTTTCATGACAATTACTTGTGTGTAAGTGTATGGATCTTTATGAAATTGTACTACAAGGTTCCATATCACAAAGGTAAAGCTGGAATTGAGTTTGGGGGTAATTGCCCAAAACATTTAGGAATAAGGGGCCAAAAATAAGCATTTTTCTAGTTTCCAGACAATAACTTGTGTTCAAGTGTATGGATCTCTCTGAAATTGTATTGCAAGGTACTATACCACAAAGGGAAGGCTGGGATTGATTTTGGGGGTAATTCCCTCAAAATTTTAGGAATTAGGGGCCATAAAAGGGCAAAAAAACAAACATTTTTCTAGTTTCAGGACAATAACTTGTGTGTAAGTGTATGGATCTCTCTGACATTGTACCACAAGGTTCCATATCACAAAGGGAAGGCTGGGATTGATTTTGGGGTAATTGCCTTCAAATTTTAGGAATTAGGGGCCAAAAAGGGCCAAAAAACAAGCATTTTTCTAGTTTCCAGACAATAACTTGTGTTCAAGTGTATGGATCTCTCTGAAATTGTATTGCAAGGTACTATACCATATTTTACCATAAGGTTCAATATCACAAAAGGAAGGTGGGGATTGATTTTGGGGGTTATGGTACCAACAGTTAAGGAATTAGGGGCCAAAAAGGTGCCAAAAATAAGCATTTTTGTAACTTCCAGACATAACTTGTGTGTTAGTGTACGGATCTCTCTGACATTGTACCACAAGGTTCCATATCACAAAGGGAATGCTGGGATAGATTTTGGGGGTAATTCCCTCAAAATTTTAGGAATTAGGGGCCATAAAAGGGCAAAAAAACAAACATTTTTCTAGTTTCAGGACAATAACTTGTGTGTAAGTGTATGGATCTCTCTGACATTGTACCACAAGGTTCCATATCACAAAGGGAATGCTGGGATTGATTTTGGGGGTAATTGCCTTCAAATTTTAGGAATTAGGGGCAAAAAAGGGGCAAAAAACAAGCATTTTTCTAGTTTCCAGACAATAACTTGTGTTCAAGTGTATGGATCTCTCTGAAATTGTACTGCAAGGTACCATATCACAAAGGGAAGGCTGGGATTGATATTGGGGGTAATTCCCTCAAAATTTTAGGAATTAGGGGCCATAAAAGGGCAAAAAAACAAACATTTTTCTAGTTTCAGGACAATTACTTGTGTGTAAGTGTATGGATCTTTATGAAATTGTACTACAAGGTTCCATATCACAAAGGGAAAGCTGGAATTGAGTTTGGGGGTAATTGCTCAAAATGTTTAGGAATAAGGGGCCAAAAAGGGGCCAAAAATAAGCATTTTTCTAGTTTCCAGACAATAACTTGTGTTCAAGTGTATGGATCTCTCTGAAATTGTACTGCAAGGTACCATACCACAAAGGGAAGGCTGGGATTGATTTTGGGGGTACTTCCCTTAAAATTTAAGGAATTAGGGGCCATAAAAGGGCAAAAAAACAAAACATTTTTCTAGTTTCAGGACAATAACTTGTGTGTAAGTGTATGGATCTTTATGAAATTGTACTGCAAGGTTCCATATGACAAAGGGAAAGCTGGGTTTGAGTTTGGGGGTAATTGCCCTAAAGGTTTAGGAATTTTGGGCCAAAAAGGGGCCAAAAAACAAGCATTTTTCTAGTTTCCAGACAATAACTTGTGTTCAAGTGTATGGATCTCTCTGAAATTGACTGCAAGGTACCATACCACAAAGGGAAGGCTGGGATTGAGTTTGGGGGTCAATGTTAAATTTTTGAGTTTTGGTCTTTTTTTCTAATACTATATGCAATAGGTCAACTATATTTGGTGTATGGAAATATTTTATGATGTACATGTCAGTCTGGGCGGTTTTATTTGACCTTGACCTCATTTTCACGGTTCATACCTCAGTGTTAAGTTTTTTTGTTTTGGTCTGTTTTTCTATTACTATAAGCAATAGGTCAACTATATTTGTTGTATGGAAGGATTGCAAGCTGTACATGTCTGCCTGGCATGGTTCATCTGACCTTGACCTCATTTTCATGGTTCATTAGTCAATGTTTAGTTTTCTTGGTTAAGTCTGTATCTTATATTATTAGAAACTATAAGCAATAGGTCAACTATATTTAGTGTATTGAATGATTGTAAGGTGTACATGTATTTCTTGTTTGGTTTATAGGACCTTGACCTCATTTTCTTGGATCATGTTAAGTTTATGTGATAGTTGTAGTAAAGCTTTATATTTAGAACTATCAACATAATATCAATGATTAGTAAAGAAGGCGAGACATTTCAGCGTGTGCACTCTTGTTTTCTGTAATAAAAGTATTATTTGATTAAAAGTATAATAATTTATTCCTTAAATGACGAAAATACCACATCTACTTATAATTTTTCTTCATGCATCAGATAAGGATACAAAAATCTGCCTGATCAGGTCAGTTTCCCAACTCATTTTGTTTGCTCTGTATCTTGAAATTGTATGTTGAATGAGCACTAGATTCATTTTGTTATGTACACAAACAGATTATATTCCAAATATTTGTTCTCATATTATTGCTACATTTTGTATTATTCTTTTTGATAATCAGATATATAAATTTGCGGGAAATCATATGACTTGCGACATTGCAGTGTCTGTCTACAGAACAGGAGCAGGGTAATGCGCTAGTGCAACATTTTAAAAAAAAGATAACGATTTTGAGTTCATAAGTTTTTGATTTACATGTATATGTGAATTTTTCATTTTATTGATTTTCTTACTGTTAATGGAGACTTTGTCCCCATAATATATATATGAAAAACAACTGAAGACTTAGTTATCTGTATGTGTTAATTTATGTTCATTGATACATTGTAACAATCATTCAAAACAATCATAAATAGTTTCAACGATACCTTACTCTTAAAATACAGTAGCCATTCACATCATGCATCATTTATTTCCTAACACTGTTTTTTTTTTTAAGAACTAGCTGAAATATATTTAAAAAAAATGCTAACTCAACTGTCACACATGTTATATTGTATTAGTATAACTGTCACACATGTGTTGTATTCTATTATTATAGGAATGTTCCTGTTGATACTGGCCACAATTTCTTCTTCACTCAAGAAACTTTCAACAAATATTCGAAACCGGAAACATATGAAGAGAAGATTAGAAAAAGATATGAGTTATTCCCGCCGAGAGAATGTCATCTTGGTGTGAATGCTAAATCTAAAAGATCAAAGAAGAAGGTGAATGAGAAAAAAACAAAAAGTTGGGATAAAGAAGATAAAGAATCTCTGTATAAAGTTCAATCACTTAGTGATGCCAGTGAAGAGGAGGAGGAGCTTATATTTGATGTTGAAGAAGATTTTGAAGAATTTGGTGTTGTAAAGAAAATTACACCAAAACAGAACAAACAAAAAGAAAAAGCTAAAACAAGAGGCCAGAAGGTCACAGATGTTGTTGTACTTGATACTGAAAAGAAAGAAGCTTTGCAGAAAAATAAATTTCAACATACTAGTACAAAACAATCTGATACTCAGCAGAAACATACAGATGATACAGAGTTACAACAAACACAGCCATGTATTGAAGATTTGGAAGAGTTTGGTGTAGAAAAGGCTTACAATACAGAAAAGAAGGAACCCTCAGCACAAAGTGTAGATATCAATCAAATAGAGGAATTTGGTATTCCTAAAACTATATCAAATCAAAGTGACATTTTGGAAGGTTCCATGCCAGGAAACCAGAACCATCAACAGAAAGAGAGTAATAAAGAACAAAAGAAAAGAACAGAAGAATTTCCATGGGACACTAAATCCAGAGATAGGTTATTATTAGTTTCTTTACGGGAAATTATTTAAAGAATGTTTTAAATAACATAAATCTAGTGCAGTGTTCTCCTCAGAGCCATATACCCTGGTACCATGGTTGCTGAGCCATATACGATGGTACCATGGTTGCTGAGCTTGTTTACCATGCTGCTATCTGAATAGAATGTATAATAGAATTTAAATGTGGTGAGCAACTATATTTTTGGGGAGACAGTGGTATTTGAAAATACTGGAGGGAACACTGTATTGAAATACATTTATAGAATGAATGACCAAAACTTTTTTACTTGGATCTAGCTATTTTGATATATTAAGAATGTCATGAATGTAGAATTTGAATTGTTTGTTTTCTTTATGAATTTCCTTAAAAAGAAAAAAGGGTTAATGGGAAGCCATTAATATAATTTTTCAGGCTATTTATCCATTTGACATTTTGTTGTATTTTCAGGAAGAGTGATAAGGCAGATTCAAAGATATTCAGATATCAGAACAGGAAATCTAATTTAAACAGTAGAGAACAGAGCCGTTATTTAAACTTGCATTACAAATATAATACATTTACTCCTAAAAGTCCATCAGAGAGGGAAAAACGTGAAATGAAAGACTTTATGGTAATTTTGTTATATTAGCACAACAATGCAATTCAATTTTCTTCACATTATTTGCATTTTTATACACACTGAAATTTAACAACTTAATTAATTACATCATTTTAACAATGGTTCCTTAATTTGTATACAAGTTTAAGCCAAAGTACAAAGGAGAGTACTGGGATGTGTAATATAAGATAAAAGTTCTATATGTGTAAGTCAAGATAAAAGTTCTATATGTGTAAGGTAAGATAAAAGTTCTGTATGTGTAAGGTAAGATAAAAGTTCTATATGTGTAAGGTAAGATAAAAGTTCTATATGTGTAAGGTAAGATAAAAGTTCTATATGTGTAAGGTAAGATAAAAGTTCTGTATATGTAAGGTATGATAAAAGTTCTATATGTGTAATTAGGTAAGATAAAAGTTCTATATGTGTAAGGTAAGATAAAAGTTCTGTATGTGTAAGGTAAGATAAAAGTTCTGTATGTGTAAGGTATGATAAAAGTTCTGTATGTGTAAGGTATGATAAAAGTTCTATATGTGTAAGGTAAGATAAAAGTTCTATATGTGTAAGGTAAGATAAAAGTTCTATATGTGTAAGGTAAGATAAAAGTTCTATATGTGTAAGGTAAGATAAAAGTTCTGTATGTGTAAGGTAAGATAAAAGTTCTGTATGTGTAAGGTAAGATAAAAGTTCTGTATGTGTAAGGTATGATAAGAGTTCTATATGTGTAAGGTAAGATAAGAGTTCTATATGTGTAAGGTATGATAAGAGTTCTGTATATGTAAGGTAAGATAAAAGTTCTGTATGTGTAAGGTATGATAAAAGTTCTATATGTGTAAGGTAAGATAAAAGTTCTATATGTGTAAGGTAAGATAAAAGTTCTATATGTAAGGTAAGATAAAAGTTCTATATGTGTAAGGTAAGATAAAAGTTCTATATGTGTAAGGTAAGATAAAAGTTCTATATGTAAGGTAAGATAAATGTTCTATATGTGTAAGTCAAGATAAAAGTTCTGTATGTGTAAGGTAAGATAAAAGTTCTATATGTGTAAGGTAAGATAAAAGTTCTGTATGTGTAAGGTAAGATAAAAATTCTATATGTGTAAGGTAAGATAAAAATTCTGTATGTGTAAGGTAAAATAAAAGTTCTGTATGTGTAAGGTAAGATAAAAGTTGTGTGTGTAAGGAAAGATAAAAGTTCTGTATGTGTAAGGTAAGATAAAAGTTGTATGTGTAAGGTAAATATAAAAAGTTGTATGTGTAATTAGCCATGCAGTAATTCTGACTGAATAATGTTTATCATGCTTAGGCAGTTTTGATAGGAGGGGGCATTAAGTTTTCAGGTATGTGTGTCCGTCAGTTGGTCTGCTCTGTATCTGCTTAAAGTTTTTTGTCAAGGCAGTTTATCATGAAATGGTGGTCTCATCAACTTTAAACTTGTACACATATTCATAAGGATGTGAAGTTTTAAAATTATATGTCAGTTTCATTTATTTACTGACCAAAGTTTTAGATGAAGATAGTTTTCCATGTCACATAAATTTGAAGCATGGTATACATGTTCATTACCTGTAAAAAAATTTGTAAAATAAGACCCCATTCACACTTTAACATTAAGATAGATTTAAACTAGATCGGTTCACTTTAGATTGATTTAAGCCCAATGTGAATGCTTTCAGTCGATCTTGAATCGGTCTAAAATAAAACACCAAAAGAAGTAGTTTAGTTGGAATCGATCTGATATGAATCGATCTAAATGTGAACACAGAGATCAATCTAAAATAGTAAGATTAAATCCAAAATAAATTGTGAGCATGTATGGCGGCAAAACAAAATGTGCTATTTATTATAAAAACTGTCAAGAACAAACAACAGCATCAACATTTGAAATTGTAATTCAAGTGAAGAAATATAAGTAACTTTATCCATTATTGATTTGCAAGCATTTGGTACCCAATCTGCTAGAAATTAACACATTAATATGATTAGATATTTCTTTTTATACATAGTGTTCACAATTTCATTGGTAAGATGGTTAGATTGATTGCATGTTTACCTGTAGACATTGTTATGAACAAGAACTGACAGTTTAATATTTTCTTGTTTTTTAGTGAATCAAATTAACATGGTTTGCAATAATTAAAAGTGGAATATTTACTGCATATATTCTTTTAATTTCCTTCAAAAATGTAATCAATATTATAAACATTAATTACATTTGTCCTAATCAGTAAATCAATAAAACTGACCACATCCGTAAATTTAAAAAAAAGAAAATTAAGAGTTTGTCTATAAATTTATCGTTGACATTTTATATTTAAGTAAATATACTGGAAAGTAATTATGATAAGTAAATAAAATGTTTGCCCAAAAAACTCTTTTGTGCAATTGCTGAACTTTTGTCCTGAAAATCCCATTCTTGCTGCAAAATTGAACTTAAACTTAACGAGTTTATTTAATTTATTGTGGGTGCATAAAATTTTATTGAAAGCCTTTATATGATGCTGTTTGATACCTATCCATCAAAAGGGTAATCCAGAATTGTGAAGTTTTATTTAAAGATGTTCATATTTCCATTGTTGATTTTAACTTCTTTGGTCTCTTAATACTTTTTCAGTTAATTTATTTTCAGACTTTACATGAGAGGGTAATAGAAGAACAAAAGGAATACCAGCAGTATCTAGAAAAACTGGCTCATACTGCGAAATCAGATTATAATTATTTAGCACCTGAAGCTGATCGATATTTCAAGGTAATTATTTGGAACCTGAAGCTGATTGATATTTCCAGGTAATTATTTGGCACCTGAAGCTGATTGATATTTCAAGGTAATTATTTAGCACCTGAATTCGAAGCTGATTGATATTTCAAGGTAATTATTTGGCACCTGAAGCTGATAGATATTACAAGGTATTTATTAGGTACCCGAAGCTGATTGATGTTTCAAGGTAATTATTTAGCACCTGAAGCTGATTGATATTTCAAGGTAATTATTAAGCACCTGAAGCTGATAGATATTTCAAGGTTTTTATTTGGTACCAGAAGCTGATTGATATTTCAAGGTATTTATTTGGCACCTGAAGCTGATTGATATTTCAAGGTAATTATTTGGCACCTGAAGCTGATAGATATTTCAAGGTAATTATTTAGCACCTGAAGCTGATTGATATTTCAAGGTAATTATTAAGCACCTGAAGCTGATTGATATTTCAAGGTAATTATTTAGCACCTGAATTCGAAGCTGATTGATATTTCAAGGTAATTATTTGGCACCTGAAGCTGATTGATATTTCTAGGTAATTATTTAGCACCTGAAGCTGATCGATATTTCAAGGTAATTATTTAGCACCTGAAGCTGATTGATATTTCAAGGTAATTATTTGGCACCTGAAGCTGATAGATATTTCAAGGTAATTATTTGGCACCTGAAGCTGATAGATATTTCAAGGTATTTATTAGGTACTCGAAGCTGATTGATATTTCAAGGTATTTATATGGCACCTGAAGCTGATTGATATTTCAAGGTAATTATTTGGCACCTGAAGCTGATCAATACTTCAAGGTATTTATTTGGCACCTGATGCTGATCAATATTTCAAGGTATTTATTTGGTACCTGAAGCTGATAACGGTTTCAGATTTGGGGATTACATGGCAATTGATTGATTGGTGTTTAACACCACTTTCAGCACTATTATGATAGTTTGTGGCAGTCAGTTTTAAAATGGTGGAGGAAGCAGGGTTGCCAGGAGAGAATGACCAACCTTTGGTACATGTCAATTAAAGAAGTTCTTGTATTTGGTTTGGTCAATTTTCACTGCAATGGAAGAATCATTTTTAGATTGAATCATCAAATTCAAAAATATTTGGTACTGTATTTTTTTCTGTAATGGAAAACACATGTGCAGTTCAATTATTTTTGGAAATAAATACTGATAACTGGGGAAGAAATGGTCACTTTTCACTTAGATCTACCAAGATCTTTTGATTGTAAAAAGCACATGACAAAAAAAAATCTGTTTACTGCCATAAATTATTTCCATGCCCACACCAACATATTTTATGGAAATTTTTAGTTCAACACTGATAGTGCCCAGATCATATTATATATTCGAAGTAAAAAAAAACCTAACTACCCACCTTATTATCAAGAGACAGGAAACAAACATATATTTTTGTTTTGACTTAGCTGTAATGGCACTTATCTTTTATATATATAGTATGTGATATAATTATTTTTTCTTTGCAGGAAAGGTTAGCCATGAAGAAAAAGCGAGTCCAGTTGTACCCTCAGTACTACAATGTTTGTGACAAATTAAATCTTTTAACAACTGGACCTCCATGTCAGTTACTGTTTGTCATGTCCTTGTTAGAACTGGTAAGGCCAAACAAACATTGTTTGTCATGTCTATATTAGAACTGGTAAGGCCAAACAAACATTGTTTGTCATGTCTATATTAGAACTGGTAAGGCCAAACAAACATTGTTTGTCATGTCTATGTTAGAACTGGTAAGGCCAAACAAACATTGTTTGTCATGTCTATATTAGAACTGGTCAGGCCAAACAAACATTATTGGCTGTTTGTCATGTCATTGTTAGCACTGTTAAGGCCAATCAATACAGTTAAGTGAAGATAATAGGTATGGTATTTACTGAAATATTCAGATACAATGCAGCCAGGTTTATAAATGATTTTGAACAGAAACAAATGTTTGTCAACAAGAGATGATGCCAGACAATGTTTTTGATAATGGTGTAATACCACCAAATCATAGTACGTCACATCCGGTTGCATACGAAAATAGGTTGAAAAAAAATATTCCCTTGTATTTGACAGTTGTAGGTAATTCATCCTACATTTCATTGCAGTAAAACATTTCTGGGTCATAAACATATATCTTGGGTATTTAAAAGCACCATTATTTTTTTATTTGGGATTTCTATAGAATATTTTGGAAACTTGAGGTTACATGGTTACTAAAGCTTGTACACAGGTTAATAAAAGGGAAAATTTGATTGGTTAACTTCCAGTGATGGTTATTTTCTTATATGCAATGAAATGTTATGTGAATTTTTTTCTATAGTACTGGACAGGATAAAACTTTACTCATGCCAAGTATTTCTTTATTTGAAACAAAGATAAATTCTGCACAATTTTTTGAAAAGCGCAAATTTAACAAAGACTAATAGGGGAAAATAAATGGTGGTATTACACCCAAAGAAATGTATACTTTTCCTTTCAGGGAACAGTACCAAAGCTTGTTGTACCAAATATGAATGTAGGAGAAAGACCAAGGATACCATTAGACTATGATTCTATTGCCAAACATTGTCCATGTGATCATAATAAACCTTCCAATGTTTGGAACAATCAGGTACAATTAGCAATCATTCTACAGCAAAACATTGTCCATGTGATCATAATAAACCTTCTATTATTTGGAACAATGAGGTACAATTAGCTATCATTCTACAGCGAAACATTGACCATGTGATCATAATAAACCTTCCAATATTTGGAACAATGAGGTACAATTAGCAATCATTCTACAGCAAAACAAACTTCATTCATGTGTTCACAACAAACTTTCTAATGTCAACATGTGGTAGCATCCATTCTTTTGGACTACCCATGCATATTAATTTTTAAATCATTTGAAGCTTTGAATGATGAGGTACAATTAACAATTATTCTAAAGCTGTACATGTCCCTTCTTGAACTGTGAACCTTCCAATGTTTTGAATCAGTGATAATTCTAGAACAAATGCAATGTCCCTGTGTTCACAGTAAACTTTGTTATGTTTGGAGCTATAAGATAAAAACAGGTCATATCAATTCCAGAAAATATCAAAATTTATGTATCATCAAAAATTTTGTTTGATAAGTGATTGATGGTTGTAACCATTGACAGCCAAGCAACAACAACAAAAAAGTGCATTGTTTTTATCCTTTATATTTTTGATGGTTTTCTTATACAATCAATGTGTATTGGCCTATAGGAATGTTTATAGGTTAGAGGTGTACATTGTAGAGGACCATACTTGCCAACCTCTGACAATGAGAAATCATGTCATGACATGACATGACATGTCAAAAAGCGTGTGAAAGCGCGCGACATAGAAAACACATTATACAAATTTGTTAATATAAAAAACAATATTCTACTATAAACTTTTATTGTATTCAACAGTCGTCTGTTTTGCTGCTTTTAAAGCAACACCACTAAGTACAAATTCAAAACAACTGCCAGTTTGGTTACATTTACTTGATAACAACTAAACAAGGCTCACAATATATCATTGTCAAGTTCTGATCAGAATTTAGTGTGAATTTCTTTATAATTGAAAATGCTCTCTCACAGTCAGAATTTATATTGGCTGAACTAAAATAGCTTTATCAAGCTTTAAAAGAGTGTCATAACGTTTTTTTGCCATCTAAAATGTCATCTATTATCTCTGCCATTGCATTAGTAGGCATTAGGGAGCTACCATTTGATTTTTATGGGGGGGCTAGGATGAAAAATTTTGTCCTCCCTTTTTATTTTTCCCTCTTTTCTGCCCTGTCTTTTTATTTTTCACTCTCTTCGGTCCTGCCTTTTTTTTTTACATAAATTATCATCCTGCCTTTTTTTTTTTTGCAAATAATCTCATCCTGCCTTTTTTTTTACTCAAAACTCCTGTCCTGCCTATTTTTTTCAAATTTCATCCTAGCCCCCCATAAAAATCAAATGGTAGCTCCCTTACTCTCAACAAACTATCTATTGCCTGGTCAAAACTAGGTAGTTCATCAGAAGACAGCTGGTACTATGAGAACTGATCCAACAGTTCCGTGATATTTCCATCCCCTATGGCCTGTGGAAATCTGTTGGCTAGATTTGAAACTGAAAAAGAAAAATATTTTATTATTTGATTACCATGAAACACGTTAAATGCTTAATCAAATAACTACATTGTAGTTGCCCTCTCACATGTATTGTTATGATTGCAACATAGGGTGCACAATGCGTTACTCGTCCCTCGATCATTTAAACTCGAACTCCCAAATATAATTTATAAATCTTGAATCTTAGACGTACACATCGTTTTCACTTAACAATCGGCTCTTTAGACGACGGTACGGGTCCTGAAAGCGACCTCTTTCTGTGGACATTTCCCCTACGTGAATTTGAAAGAAAGAAAGTCACAAAATCATAAAAACTAATCACAAACTACTTACCTTAAGTGCTTTTTGCTGTTTGTCCATATAGAAAAATAAACAATGGTGAACAAACAATTACTTTGAAATTTTCGGTATTTATTGTCTAATAAAAAGAAAAAACCCGAGAATCGCAATATCACTAACGACCAAAAAATCAAGACAACAAAAAAGCGTGTAAAGTGGTGAAAAGTGTGTACACGCCATGTGACAAAATCCTAGCGTGTAAACCGTTGAAAAAGCGTGTATTACACGCGAATATCATGTCAGTTGGCAACTATGTAGAGGACAATAATAGGAACTGTGATGAAATAGCAGTAATAAGAATGTTAAATTTTGCTCATTAATATATCAGAACACAATATATGTAAAATATACAAATATTGTGCAGGTTTATATGTACTCAATTGTTTAATTCATAAAATTACTGATAGAATTTTTAGAAAATGTCAACAAATTTCTGTACATTTAAATTGCAGCCTTGTAGCAAGGACCAGAACTGTGATGTTTTATCTCAGAGGTCCAAAGTACACATCACAATATCAGCCAGTGCTATTGCTTGTATTGTAAATAACCATGCTCCTAACTACAACAGGGAATGGGAGATACCATTTACTGTCAAGGATTACCAGCTTCAGGGTATGTATTGGGAAGTAATGGGAGATACCATTTACTGTCAAGGGATATCAGCTTCAGGTTATGTATTGAGAATTAATGGGAGATACCATTTACTGTCAAGGATTACCAGCTTCAAGGTATGTATTGAGGGGGCATAGGACATTCGAGCGAAAATAAAAAATGCACATATAGTCATTAGAGCGCCGGCATCATAGGACATTTTAGCGATGGAATATTAACCTTACCTGGATTTTCAAATAGAATGTTTGAGCGAAATTTATTGTGATACTTTTAAATGAATTAAGAAAAAAATATTTTAAAAAAGTAAGAAAAAAGAGTCAGTTTTAAAAAAAATATAATTTATTTGATTTTACACCTGAGTAATTTGACCGATTCTGGCTAGTTAATTGTAGTGTCTCTACTTACTAGGGATGTCAACGAGTACTCGAGTATTCGAGTATCGCTCGGTAGTACAGAGTATCAAATACCAAAACGATACTCGACTAATCGGTTACCTGTTAGAATATTGCTGTCTTTATATAAAATTGATCTTCTTGAGAACCTCTTTCGGAAATTAAATAGGCATCACTGATAAATCAAACTAGTAAATAAAATACATTTTGTTTCGAATGCTTGTGCTAAGTTGTCATTTAAAATGCCTCCGAAAATACGTGGCCTATACCTAGGCTAACACTTTGTCTTAGCCATTCCGGCACATTGGTACCGTCAGAGCAAATATTTCGACTGCAAGACTGTAATTAGTTACAAAGTTGCAAAACCGACTGTCCCCAATAATAGTTGAAAAGAAAATGTTTCCAAATATAATAAATTCGTTGAATCCTCTGGTGACCCTCAGTGAATAGTTAAATTTTTAATCCTTACGCCTTTGTGAACATTAAATGTGTTTTCTTAACGATTACCAAATACTATTGTATGATATTGTTTTTCCTTGTTTTTGAATAGGTGTTAATTAAATTATATTGATTAGAATATTGTTTTTTACTTAATTAGTAATTGTAGGTAATGAGCTATTAATTATGGTGTGTAATTCCTTTCCCAGATACTATATATGTAGATGTTTTTTCGTCCGTTGAAAAACAATCCACATAATGTAAAATATATGCTTTTGTGTTTCTGTGTTGTAGATATATTCCCGAGCGAGTACTCGAGTATCGCTCGATAAAACCAACGAGTACTCCATTAGTAATTGTTCACCGAGTTGACATCCCTACTACTTACCAATCATTTCTACTATAATTCATTGGCTATGCAAACTTTCTTTGTTCTAAATTTCTTATATTTATAAAGTGAAATGTCCCTTGGCACTTGAGATCTTAATACTAATACATGTACATTTTAAAATGGATATACTTTTGACCGAGACGAATAAAAGAAAAAAGCGCCTTGTTTGCAATAGCACCTCAGAGCCAAACAGAGAAGGAGAAGGAACAGAATAACGAGGGATGTTTATGTCTGAAGCCTAGGATATAAATTTCAAGTCTGAACTGACTAAGCTTGTAAATATTGCCATTGTCGAGTTTTAAGTTTTAGGAAAGTGCTATTTTTTTTAGAATTACAAGATGTTTTGAACTTTGTGTGTTATAAACCTCGCTGGTGAACAGAAGAGGTACTCCTTCATCATTCTTAATTATTTTTCTCTCAAATGTCCTATGATTATTTTTTGTTTTCGCTTAAATGTCCTAAAATTTTGGCACTCAAGTGTCCTATACTTTTGCGCTCAAACATCCTTTTTTGTTGAGCCTTCGACTTTAGTCGAAAAAGCTAGACATAGCGATCCTACATTCCGTCGTCGTCGTTTTAGTTGGCGGCGCCGACAAATATTCACTCTGTGGTTAAAGTTTTTGAAATTTTATTAACTTTCTTAAACTATCCTGGATTTCTACCAAACTTGGACAGAAGCTTGTTTATGATCACAAGATAGTATCCAGAAGTAAATTTTGTAAAAATAAAATTCCATTTTTTCCGTATTTTACTTATAAATGGACTTAGTTTTTCTGCCAGGAAATATTACATTCACTCTGTGGTTAAAGTTTTTAAAATTTTAATAACTTTCTTAAACTATCCTGGGTTTGTACCAAACTTGGACAGAAGCTTGTTTATGATCATAAGATAGTATCCAGAATTAAATTTTGTAAAAAAATAAATCCATTTTTTCCTTATTTTACTTTTAAATGGACTTAGATTTTCTGCCAGGAAACAACACATTCACTCTGTGGTTAAAGTTTTTAAAATTTTAATAACTTTCTTATACTATTTTGGATTTGTACCAAACTTGGACAGAAGCTTGTTTATGATCAGAAGCTAGTATCTAGAAGGAAATTTTGTAAAAAAATAAATACATTTTTTCCGTATTTTACTTTTAAATGGACTTAGATTTTCTGCCAGGAAACAACACATTCACTCTGTGGTTAAAGTTTTTAAAATTTTAATAACTTTCTTATACTATTTTGGATTTGTACCAAACTTGGACAGAAGCTTGTTTATGATCAAAAGCTAGTATCTAGAAGGAAATTTTGTAAAAAAATAAATACATTTTTTCCGTATTTTACTTTTAAATGGACTTAGATTTTCTGCCAGGAAACAACACATTCACTCTGTGGTTAAAGTTTTTAAAATTTTAATAACTTTCTTATACTATTTTGGATTTGTACCAAACTTGGACAGAAGCTTGTTTATGATCAAATGCTAGTATCTAGAAGGAAATTTTGTTTTCTTCCAGTTAACATTACATTCAGTCTGCAGTTAAAGTTTTTAAACATTTATTAGATTCATAAACTATCCTTGATTTTTACCAAACTTGGACAGAAGCTTCTTACAATCAAAAGATATTATCAAGTGGAATATTTTTATTGATTTACTTCATCATTTTTGTTGAGCCTGCAATTAACAGAAAAAGTAGGCGAGACACTGGGTTCCGCTGAACCCTTACGAATTTTTATTATTATACCCCTGCTTTAAAAAAGTGGGGGTATACTGTTTTACCTCTGTCTGTCCGTCAGTCCATCTGTCAGTCTGTCCGTCCGTCCCATGAATATTTTCTTTGCATCTTTCTCAGATCTACAATACAAGGATTTCTGAAATTTGGTTTCAGGTTTTATATAAGTCAGCTATACCGTGTGATGAGTTTTCAGATTCATCACTCAACAACTTCCTGTTTACCAAACACTTGTATCATTTTATACATGATAGCCAAGTTGAAAATTTTCGTCACATTTTTCTCAGGAACTACAATACAAGAATTTCTGAAATTTGGTTTCAGGGTTTATATAAGTCATCTATACCGTGAGATGCGTTTTCAGATTCATCACTCAACAACTTCCTGTTTACCAAAACATTTGGGCGGGGGTATCATCAGTGAGCAGTAGCTCACAGTTTCACTTGTTTATTGCTCAAATCTACTGCCATTTCGCTCAAATGACCATTGCTGGTATTGATGAGTAATGTGAGATACCATTTACTGTCAAGGGTTACCAGCTTCAGAATATGTATTGGGAAGTAATGGGAGTTACCATTTACTGTCAAGGGTTACTAGCTTTAGGGTTTATGCAGGGAAATGACAAAATTCTCCTAGTAGTCACTGCTTAAATTCTGATATATATGTGAATAAAACGAAATACAACATATACATGTACATTTACTATTATATTTATTTTGATAAATTCTCAATTGATCTGATCGTCAAATTTGTAAAAATTTTTAGAATTGAAACTTCAACACCTTCAGGCATAGTACATTTAAGGATGTTATAGCTGTTTATTTTAGGTTCTTGAATATAAAAGTCCAATTTTCAGACTTCTACTCATAAAGCATAACTCTCAGGACTGTAAACAAAAGATATAGGAAAACAGAAACAACGAAATTTTTTTCTCTATACTGCTAGTTATTGTCCTTAATAAATGTCTGTAGGGGTAATTACAAGTAAAATAACAGGATACTTTTAGGTCTTGGAAATACAATGACAAGTTTTTAAGATAGATCATGTGTCTTCCTCTTATCTTGGGTTGTTAAAAAAGCAGAATACAATTAATCTAGATCTCTTATGAAATATGCAGATTTTGAGAGAGGAATGTAATTCATTTGTAAGACTTTTCATTTTCTATTTTGCACAACCTGTAGCTTGGGAAAAGCTCTGTGGCCTATCCTTTGTAATATTTTTGAAAAAAAACATAATAAAAAAAAATAAAAGTACTAAACAGTTACATGTATATCTTATTTCAATTCAGACTAAAATCAAATTGTTTGAATGAATTTCATAATGATTCATCAATATTTATTTTTAGATGGCGATAAGAAGTTTATGCATCGTGTTGTGTACATTGATAATCCACTTCCTGCTAAAGAGCTCACAGGACGAGACAAAAATACAATGTTCTATAAATATGCTTTGCGTTCACATATGGGGAGACTTAATCAAACAGGTCACATCTTCACATTGAATCAGAAAATAGAATCAGATTCTACAAGTCCAGAATCTTTGAAGTTACCAAGGAAACAGTCTTCTGTAGAACAGTCACACAATACAGAACTGATAATTGATGACACTGAAAATGTAGCATCTCTGTTATCACCTATCAAATCACCTTCAAATGAACAAAAGAAAAAGATGAGCAAAATAAAAAGAGGGGAAAAGGTCAAAGATTGTGAAGAAGTTGTGGGAGATGATCCATTTGGAACAATGGAAGTTTCCATGGAAGATTTAGAAACATTTGGGATGGATATGTCAGCAAACAAAACATTCAAGAAACTTGGAGAAAAGAAGAATGTAACTAGTTCAAAGGAAGATCCACCTGTTGAAATCAATTTAGCTGCTGAGAAGAAACTTCCAGCTAAAGATGGTTTCATTGTTGGTAAAGCCATTAAAGGTCAAGTGTCAGATCACAGTGAAACCTTGAAATCAAACGAATTGGATATAAGTAAGGGAAAAGAATCATTAGATTCAGTTCAAGAAGTTTCTTCTCTTTCTTCAGATGGAGATTGTAAAATAATTGATCTGGATAATAGTGAAAAAGAAAAAGGAAAATTGGCAGAAAATTTTCAATCTCCCAAAATTATAGGAAATAATGAGGAAGTTGACAGAATTGATACATCAATACCTAATGTAAAGAGTGACTTAAATGTTGAAGACTCAGTCTCTAATTCTGTTGAAATTTCAGATAGTTTCAAAATTGATGAAAGTTCAGTCAAAACTTCTGAATCTGTATCTAATGATAAAGAACCTGAAAGTATTGGACAAGAATTGAAAGTGGATATAGTTGTCTCCTCACAACCATGTGACTTACAAATGAGTTCTGCTAGTGATGATGAGTCAGATGCTCTTGTCATTGATGAACCTGAAAATGAGAACATAAAAACAGTATCTGGTCATGTTGCTATGGAAACACCAGCTAGTCCTGTCCCAGAAACACCTCTTAGTCCTGTGTTATTTGGAAGCTCATTTGGTAGTGCATTCAGTCCACCTGCTAGTCCCAGTAAGAGATTATGTAGATCAATTGACATGAATGATAGAACTCCAAGATGTTCTTTTAATAGTGTAGATGGAGTTAAGTCCCCTGACAGGATGGACAGAAACTCACCTACTAGTCCAGATCATACTACATTTAGTTCTCCTGAAAGTAAGCCATGTAAAATCATACCCCTACAGAGAGATAGTGAAGAAGAATTTGTAACTGACAATTCTAATGTTTTACCTCATCCGATAAATCTTTTTTATCCAGGAGCTAATATAAATCAAATCGGATTAAGAAAGAAAGTTGAGGAGATATCTGACTCTGAAGGGAATACTGAAAGTAAACCGTCAATAGATATATCATCTGCAGGTATTCTGAGCAAATATAACACTTCTGACGATAGCTTTAAAAAGGTTTCAAACTGTAAAGCACTTGATATAAAAACTTTGCAACTTTCAGATGACACAACTGTATTAAAATCAGATCTCCACACTTCTAGTATAACAAAAGGTGATGAAGTACGTGACTCTATAGATCAATCAGAACCAGATAGTCTGTGTTTGATTAAACCTATGGACTGTACTGATTTATCTGTTCAGAACCAAGATTCTAATACTTCTTCCTCTAAGATAATCAAAGGTATCAGTCATAATGTTGAAGGAGACAGTCAAAATGTTGAAGGTGGCAGTCATAATGTTGAAGGAGACAGTCATAATGTTGAAGGCGACAGTCATAATGTTGAAGGAGACAGTCATAATGTTGAAGGTGGCAGTCATAATGTTGAAAGAGACAGTCATAATGTTGAAGGAGACAGTCATAATGTTGAAGGAGACAGTCATAATGTTGAAGGCGACAGTCATAATGTTGAAGGAGACAGTCATAATGTTGAAGGTGGCAGTCATAATGTTGAAAGAGACAGTCATAATGTTGAAGGAGACAGTCATAATGTTGAAGGCGACAGTCATAATGTTGAAGGAGACAGTCATAATGTTGAAGGTGGCAGTCATAATGTTGAAAGAGACAGTCATAATGTTGAAGGAGACAGTCATAATGTTGAAGGTGGCAGTCATAATGTTGAAGGAGACAGTCATAATGTTGAAGGCGACAGTCATAATGTTGAAGGAGACAGTCATAATGTTGAAGGTGGCAGTCATAATGTTGAAAGAGACAGTCATAATGTTGAAGGAGACAGTCATAATGTTGAAGGCGACAGTCATAATGTTGAAGGAGACAGTCATAATGTTGAAGGTGGCAGTCATAATGTTGAAAGAGACAGTCATAATGTTGAAGGAGACAGTCATAATGTTGAAGGCGACAGTTATAATGTTGAAGGTGGCAGTCAAATTATGGAAACTGGAAACATTGATAATAATACTGGTAAAGATGACCTTGATTCTAGTGATAACGAAATATTACAAATTAATACTGTTCTGTCAAAAGATGGCAGTGATTCCTCAGATGAGTTTGTCTCCCCTCGATCAAAAATCTTAAGAAAGAATAAAGACAGAAATAAAAAATGTGATGGTCAGACAAATAAATTCCGAGCTGCAGTTATTGAGAGTGATTCTGAGTCGGATGAAGAAGTTGGATCAAAACAACATTCAGTGACTGATAAATGTAGCAGTGGTACTATAAGTCCTTTTACCAGTAGTGAAACAAATGATTTGGGTAAAAGACCTTTAAGTAGATGTAATAGTACAGAAAATGAAGAAGAAAATGAAATAGTCAAAAGACTGCTTCAACCATCACAAAGGAAAGGACATAGGTCTAATAAGAGCAAAGATGTCAAAACAGAAGTCACCATCAATGTAGAGGCAGAAAGTGAAAATCTTGAAGAAATGGCTTGTACTCGCAGGAAAACTAGGTCTTCTGTAGGGTTAAAGAAACAAGAGACAACACAAAATACAAAAACTTTAAAACTACCTTCATCACCAAAAAAATTTAAATCTGTTGATGATCATCAGCTATCTGATTTTTGTGAAGAGTCAATGCTAACCAAAAGACAAACTAGAAGAAGCATGGACAACCAGGACCAAGAACAAAGATCTAGTAAACTGGCAATATTAGATAGAGTCAAGAAAAATTTGAGGTCAGTATTCCTAACGTAAGGAACCTTATGACAGCGATTGCTTTTATTAATCAATAATCACAACATACAGAAAGATTGTACTTATCTCTTTCCACTTGAACACATTGGCAGATTGTGTATTTATCAAGTATCTCTATTCAGTTTTGTTTGACAAAGCATGCATGGTTTGCTTGTTATTATCTTTTGATTGGTTGAAATACAATGATTATTTGACAAAGCATGCATGGTTTGCTTGTTATTTACTTTTGATTGGTTGAAATACAATGATTATTTGACAAAGCATGCATGGTTTGCTTGTTATTTACTTTTGATTGGTTGAAATACAATGATTATTTGACAAAGTATGCATGGTTTGCTTGTTATTATCTTTTGATTGGTTGCAATACAATGATTATTTGACAAAGCATGCATGGTTTGCTTGTTATTTACTTTTGATTGGTTGAAATACAATGATTATTTGACAAAGTATGCATGGTTTGCTTGTTATTATCTTTTGATTGGTTGAAATACAATGATTATTTGACAAAGCATGCATGGTTTGCGTGTAGTTAACTTTTGATTGGTTGAAATACAATGATTATTTGACAAAGCATGCATGGTTCGCTTGTAGTTAACTTTTGATTGGTTGAAATACAATGAGTATGTCCAATTCTCTACAATTCATTTATGTTGCAAAAAAGACTTCAGGGAGAAGAACATTTAGCATCACAAGAAAAGAGCACAATTGTCTAGCTTAAGGGCATACAATACAGGATAAATCTCTCATTGATTTTTCCTTATAATTTTGACACAAAGTCAATTTTAATATGCACTTTAAATAGATGCAGAGAAAAAATATGCCTTCATGACTTAGGAGTAATAGAGAGAAAATACTTACATAAGGTCATGACTTACTTTTCCAGATATTTCGGTTTGATTTTGACATGTTTAGGTAAAGACACAAAGGAGTAGGGGCATCAAAAGGCCTGTTTTGGTTCAAGAAAAAGTTTTTGAGAACTACATCTAATTTGCATCTAAAAATGCCTGGAAATGTGTAAAATCAAGAAAATATAAATGATTTACTCTGAATTACTCAAGACTTTTAAAGATTTGACCTCACAATTACATCATCGTGTGTGCTTTTTCTTTTGTGAAGAAAAACTGCTGAATTATCATGATTATACAGTTTTCCATCCATATTTCCTTTATGGAAACATTGTGTGTAGCCAAGAAACAAGAAAATAATTTTAGAGAAGGTTTATTATAGACATAATCTCACCAAATATAAAGGCATCGTGAGTGCCCACATACTTTCCCAATCCAAAAAATACTAATTGATGCAAAACATGAAAAATCAAGAAATTCAACAAAATATTTATATTTTAGAATGGTTTGTTGTTGTGGTAACTTCTTTCATGTGAAATTTGTTTTTTATTTTCTAAACACCTTGTACTTTAGTATAGTTTGGACAAATTTAAGAATATATATGTAAGACATTCCAAATCGACGGCCAATTTTATGCCCCTCTTATCGACGTCTTTTTTGTTGTTCTCAAATCAACGTTTAAGTTTTGACTTCTCTTATCGACGTCTGTTATGGACTTGTCGCAGTGATATCACAACTTTATTATTGGGTTGAATCTAAAACTCAAAAAGTTGCTGAAAAATCATAAGTGCAATTCATAATACTTTTCAACAATTGGCTGAACGTTATGATACTTTCTATTGTTTGAGTCTGTATGCTGCCCTCTAGATGTCTTTATCTTTGTTTTTATGTTGTTGTCTCATTGTCGTACAATGTATACCCACATGTCATTTAGTTATATGAAAAAGAAAGGAAAACGACAACATAGGTAGAGAATATGAACGTCTTTCGTCAAAATATTAATATGCATGCATGTACATGTTATATAGTAATATGATGTTGGTGATTGTCTTATTGTCATTTTCTGATGTTTGTCCTTTTATTTTGATAACAATATAAGAAAACAGTTATAGTTTCTGTAAGCTACTTCACAAAAAGACAAAACGATACAGATAATATAAACAAAGATAAATTGAAAAAAAAATAAATGATTGAATGAAATTAAACATCATGATAAGAGTCTCCTCATTGATCCGACGTCGTTTTTGTGATTCATTACTTCACATTGGACGTTGATTAGAGGGTTAAAATATTGGACAATGATTTGAGAACATGACGTCGGATTTGGAAGTTGATTTGAGGAACGGATGTCGATCTGAGTCTAACATATATAGTAATTTAATTTGCACTAATGTTTGGGCCAAAGCAGGGCCTGATTGCCCCACTCCTTTGAACATTTCAATACTTTGTAGAAAAAATATAGGTAAATGTTATGTAATTAACATGATAAATCTTGATCAGCTATTACATGTGTGTATTATATATTTTGTACTATGTTTATTTACATTTGATTACCATGAATACTGAGTATTAAATAAGTAAAATGTATATCTTTTAGTAGAATATATTTTTATGATAACTAGGTCAAAATCTACATCACAAGAAACTAGTACAGAAAAGCAAACAGATAATACAGGTAAAACATAAAAGCAATTGTAATTTGTTGAAAAACGAGGAATTTACTCTGCGATCTTTGTTCTTCTAAATGAACACTGCATACAGAGTAGTGTACGTGAAAGACGAGGAATTTACTCTGCAGTCTTTGTTCTTCTTAATGAACACTGCACACAGGAGTAGTGTACGGCATGATAGTAAGGTATGCATATAAAACTAAGGAGATATGGTATGAGTGCCAATGAGACAACTATCTATCATGTCCATCTGGTAGGGTTTATCTGACCTTGACCTCAGTTTCATGATTCATTGGTGAACTTTACGTTTCCATGGCTAGGTCTGTTTCTCAGATACAGAAAGCAATAGGTCAGCTATATTTGGTGTATGGAATTATTGTTTGTTTGAATTTTGACAGGGCTCAACTGACCTTGACCTTATTTTCCTGCATGTAGCAAAACCTTGAAATTAAAGACTTTCAACATTAAATTTAATCAGGATCAGTAAAGCAGGCAAGACATTTCAGCATATGCACTCTTTGTTTTCCTTTAAACACACACCCATCTGTCCTATCATCAAATTAACATTTTTAACCTTTTTTGGAATGCATCATATATTTCAAGCCATGCTAATATAAAGGGTGCTGCTGTTTGGCTGTTCAGTCACATTTTTTTCAGAATGTGGACATTAAATCTGATGCCTGAAAACATTAAATACAACCCTGTAACAAAGACATTTAGAAGACAACAAAAGGCTTGTAAAAGTCTATACCATATGTCATTTTTTGTAAAATATAAATTGATACTTCAAAAGTTTACAAACAGTTTGCCAAGATTCTGTTATTATTTTTCAAGCAGCTGCAAACTGTGTACAATTGGATTAATAATTTGTAATCTTTCAGATAACGAACAGTTAAAACGGAAAAGAGGACGTCCTCAAAAAAGAAAATCTGTCCAAGGTATTTATCATTGAACACATAATTAACTTATTTTAAGGGTTGTTAATTTATAGAATAGACCAAGGATAATTTTAATGATGGTAAATTTATTTTGTATATTTATTTGTTAACTGACCAGATGATATGTTTCACAGGTTATTGAGATACTATCAGAGTTTTTTACTGAAATATATGTTCTCTGTTTAAGATATAGTATGGTAGAAGAAATGGCTACAGTTGTATATCATTGATTGCAAAAAATCTGACATTTTTAACCATGACAAAAAAATAGGAATAATGTTATCAATGTTAAAATCTCTTAAACTCTAGTTCTATTTAGTACTAAAGTCACATTATGCTGGATACTTTAATATTCAAAAGAAGGTATGGCTATCATTTCTTTATGCCCCACCTACGATAGTAGAGGGGCATTATGATTTTTCAGTCTGCATCCGTCCGTCCGTTCGTCCGTCTGTCCCGCTTCAGGTTTAAGATTTTGGTCAAGGAAGCTTGTGATGAAGTTGAAGTCCAATCAATTTGAAACTTAGTACACATGTACACATATGATATGATCTTTCTAATTTTAATGCCAAATTAGAGTTTTGACCCTAATTGCACGGTCCACTGAACATAGAAAATAATAGTGTGAGTGGGGCATCCATGTACTATGGACACATTCTTGTTTTGTTTAAGAATCTTCTGTACTTGGGATTGCTGCAAGTAAGTGTATAACATGTCAATTCAAACGATGGAGTACATTTTAAATTTGTTTTATGTTTTGTTTGTTTTAAAAGTCTGTGGCAAGAACTAAACAAAAGTGCAAAGATGGAGCCAGGAAAAAAAAGTTTGCACCCTTTGTGGAGATAGTAATTATTTCTGTCTTGGTACCTTCTGGTACTGTGGATTCATTTAATTTTTGTGGATAAGGAAAAACTCTATTTTCGTGGATATTTGATTTGATGGTCTTGCCATGGTATAGAAAATGTGTAATTTGTAGAATGGTTTACCTTTACCCACCTAATACATGATAAGTGGTATTCCACTTATAGTAATGAATCCACAGTCTTGATAATGAGGGGGTAAAGGGTTATTTTCGTGCAACGTGTTTTGCCATTTTTATTACACGTGCAGCCGTGAAAAAGGTTCGTTATTCACCGTGTTTCGTGAAATCGGTAAAAAGATCAAGAAATGCAAGAAATTTTTAATTGTTCGTTCATCGTGAAATGGCAATTTTATTTCGCGTTCTTCCGTGCAGATACCCCCCTTTACGCCCCTCGATAATTATTTGTATTATCTACAGAAAATGGACATCAACTGTCATGTCTTGTACTGTAACTTATGCTATAGCTATCACTGATAATTATATACTGACTTTTTACAGAAGACATTCACAGTATTGATGAATCTGCATCTAAGAGTGAGAAGCAGGATTCTGAAATGAAAGTAGTTGAAGGTAGCATTGAAGAGGAGACCACTCAATTATCAAATGAGAAAGACATTACAAAGCTTACAATGACAAAATCAATGGCTAATCAGGAAAATACTTATACTATAGAGGTGAACATGACAGATGTTGGGGATTCAAATGACGGAAAAGGCACAGAAAATCAACAGAAATCTAGTGTTTGTAATTTCAGAGACAAAGATCAAAATACTGGAGATGACATCAATATAAATCATCAAAAAGACATTTTAGAAAAAGGAAAGTCAAACGAAACAGGTATTGATTGATGTAAGGGGAAAGATGAGAATATTGAAAGTAAAAAAAAAACAGGTATCTAACAATGCTAGGGTAAAGACAGGGGTTAAAAAATCCAATAGCCCGACACCCGGGGCTACAGCATTTACGCTTCGAACAATCAAAACTTGTAACCCAATATGCCCGACGGACTAGTAACAAAAAATTCTTGGCGTTTCCAAAATAGAATGTGGAAATCCCCTCGTCACTATTCTATCTTAGCCAATCAGATTCAATTACGTCATCCGGGATTTCAAGAATTTGAACTGATTTTGTACATGTTTTAAAATAGAACAAGTAACTCTGGGTGGACCGGTATCATGTATTGATCGCAATTACTGTACTTTCAATAAGGATTTCTCAGTAAAGGAGATATTGTACATTGCTTATGCCGAGATTTTCAATTACCGGTAACGGTACTGGGCTAGTGGGGGTATGATGCATTGATCAATATTGACCTGTCATGTCGGACAACTGTTAAGCACTAAACCATGCAACAAAATATTTGAAATATTTTAGTATGGACACCACAGGAACTTGGTCAGTTTCAAAACAAAAAACGGTACATGAAGGGGCTGAAAATTTATCCCAAAAAATGACAAATACAACCGGGAAAAGCTGAAAAGAACATTTATAGTGTCATGGACAGAAAGATTCCCAGGGCAAGGTTGGCTGTTGCTGATGATAAACCAGAGACAATGTTTTTTGAATATTGCCGTTATTTTCCCCATCACGCTAATAAAAAGTCTGCTTTGTATGTGGGAACAAATATATGATTTGAACCACTGGTTTCACATGACAAGACCAATGAACATGTTTTATGTAGTTTATCATGGTGATCAGAGATAATCTTGGGTAAACACTCGTGCAAAAAGAATGTCATAAATCAATACAGCGGTCAGTGACTGGAAATTTAATTACACATGTATTATCGGATTAACTCTTCAATCCATTTACATGTAAATCCCCAAGATCCTGTAAAATATTTAACAACCCATAGTACAACGGATAGAAATGAACAAGTTTAAAGAACTCGTTGTATTATGCAGCAAACTCTGAATTTGTAAGACATACTTGGGCTAGCAGGTCAGTTTTGATGGGCTAGCAGTTCTTCCAACAGGGCTTGTAAAATCCTGCTTCCAATAAGTCCTGGGCTAGTGAGCTGTAACAAAATTTATTAACCCCTGAAAGATTAAAGTAAAAAAAAATATACTTTAAATATTGAAAGTAAAAAATACCAGGTACCTAATATGCTAGATATTGATAAGCTAATAAAATGAGGAAAAAAAAACACAGATATTCAAAACAATGCAATGCTACAAATAAACTATCAGAGTGGAGACAAAAAAAAAACATAAAATATTTAGAAATGCTAGCTATAATTAAACCATCAAACTGAAATAAAAAATGCAGGTAATTTCAAACAATGCAAGCTTTTCACAAGGATTTAGAATGCATTCTGTGAAATAATTAATCATATTGTTTTATATCCAGTAATAAGTATCCCCCTACACATGACAAGCAGTAATATTGTGGTTTGGATAGGTTTTACATATCTGAATTAATTACTGATTGTTATATCTTCATAGAACCAGCCGCTGTTGTGAAAACCCAGTCACAGAAAGTGGACACCCATGTAAAGAAAGCTAAGACACTTCATACGACAGTACAGAAAGGTCAACAAAAATCTGTTAATCCTTTAGAAAATATCCTGCAAGCTCAAGAAAGACTGTTGGATAATCCAAAACTCCACAGAGGTTAGTTTATTTCACTATTTGTCAAATTATTCTTTTTAGAGAAAAGTTTTATTGAACTCTTTTTTTTATAAACAGACACAAAAAAGTCTATGATATCCATAATGAAATTTGTGTAATTATACAGGACTTCATCACAATGACCTTAAAAAAGCACACTTAACTGGAGAAATCAAATTGACCAAGTTTGTGCTAATACAGAATATACCTTCTTTCTAAAATAAAGAAATTTTTAGATATAAATGCACGGAAAACATATTACAATGGGTATATTCTGCCCCTGATTGACTACTATTGTATAATTTGGGGTGAATGTAAAAATGAAGGGATAGCAAGAATTTTAAAACTCCAAAAAAGGGCAGCAAGATTAATTCTAGATGCAGATCCTTTATCCCCCTCAGCCCCCTTATTTAAAAAACTTGGGTGGATGACAGTTGACAATAGAATCAAATACCACAAATATTTACTTCTATATAAATGTATGCGTATGGAAGCACCAATGTACCTAGTTCAAAAGTTTAAACTGAAATCAGATAATAATCCTTACTCCTTGAGAGGTGTCACTCAAGGTAATCTGATAGTTCCTAAGCCAAAAGCTGAACTATTTAAGAAATCTTTTGTTTATTCTGGATCAGTGTTATGGAATGGACTACCACACAAAATGCGTAAAGCTCAAAACACTTATACTTTTAAACAAAGTATCAAGAAGTACTTAACACAGTCCTGATAAGATTATGTTTTCTACAATGTATTTGTATATATTTTTTTTTTTTTTTTTTTTTTTTTATTTGATTTTTTGACTACATGTACATATTGAACAGCTTTATATCTTATCATGTTAATAATATTACATTGAACTACTTGACTGTAAATTAACTATGTGTAAATATCTGTTTTTGATTGTATTGTAATTTGTATGTGAGGGCCTCAGGGAAGATTAGTTTATTGTAACTAACTGAGTTTACCCTCTTTAAATAAAGAATTTATTATTATTATTATTATTACCTTATACACCTTAAAATGATACAAACATGCAAAATTATAAAATACAGCGTGTAAAACAACAGAAAATGAAAAATTCATCTAAAATAGATTGATGTCCATGAAAACAACGTATGATCAAATCAACAGGATACACAATGCTGTAAAGTTGTTTATTTTAGTGCAGATTAAATTTCGCAATTTCAAATCCTAACCTACATGTATCTATGCCTGAGGTTTTATTTACATGCTTATCTTGTCCCTCACTCTCATCTTCATTAAACATCAAATTGATGTTGGGGAACATTTTCACAAGTTTTTTTTATGATAATCGTAAAATTGGCAAACATTAAACCCTTGCACGAATTTTCCACTTTCCAGTACTTGTGTTACCTTGAGCAAATTCATATATTAGAAGTTTGTTGTAATATACCCTAAAAATGCTCTTGTTGACAGGTGCAGTTGTATTATGCTTGTATTTAGTTGATTACTTTACTTAAACAAGTTTCCAAAAGTTAAAATCAGCAGGTTTTTTGATGAATGCCCTCTGTCTGGCCATCTCCCTGAAACTTCCAAAAATGACAACAAATAGTAGGAATGACCACTAAATGTGTTAATATAAAACAACAAATCTGGTTGCAGTCTCCAGTATAGCACCAGTGAATAAGGAAAAAAAAATTGTCAGTAGTCTGGATTTTGTTTATTCCCTTCCATACACTGCCATACACAGAACTATTTCCCCTCAAGTTTAGCACTTTGTTGGTCAGCACTTTGTTGGTCAGCACTTTGTTGGTCAGCACTTTGTTGGTCAGCACTTTGTTGGTCCATGTGTTTATTAAGTCTGATTTTCTATGCCACAACATCTACTATATCTGTCAGTATCAATGGTTCCTGCTGGTCAAGAAATTAAATGAAAAATTGTGTTAAATTAACCTTTTTTATGAGATGTCAGAATTTAGGGCAAGCTTAGGTAAATTTAACATTTTCAATCCATTCAGTAATTCATTTTGATTATTTTGCAGACCAAGCTCAGCAAGAGTACTTCTCTCAGTTCAAATTTCCTGCTAGACATAATGTTACTTATCATCTGTGGTCACTAGGGGCATATAAGGTTATGATCAGGTCTGGTTACCATGGAGTGTATAAAGATCCACAGCAGAAGGTTAGTAAATAGAAATATTGATATAAGAGTTCAGGGTTCACTTTATAAACAAATCAGTACATTCACACTATAAATCTCTTCTGTAGTAATGGATTTTTGCCAGTTTGAAAGCAGAAATGATCAAATTGTATTTCAGTACTCCAAGCACCACTCTGAATGACCTTTCTCCAAAAATAAGAGTAAGATCCTTTAAACACTGAATCCCATCACCAAAAACAATAAAAAAACTGTGACCTCATTTAAAACTTAAAGAACAATTTTTTGAAAGATTTTACAAGAATGATTGAACCCAAGGTATATAAAAGAAATCCTTGTCAAGGCAGTTATCTCCCTTTATCTTTGGTTATTCCATAGACAAACTATTTTATTATACCCCGCTTTAAAAAAGTGGGGGTATACTGGATTTACCTCTGTCCGTCCGTCCATCCATCCGTCCATCCGTCCGTCCGTCCGTCCGTCCATCCATCCGTCCGTCCGTCCGTCCGTCCATCCATCCGTCTGTCCGTCCGTCAGTCCGTCCCATGAATATTTTTCATCGCATCTTTCTCAGGAACTACACTACAAAAATTTCTGAAATTTGGTTTCAGGGTTTATATAAGTCAGCTATACCGTGTGATGCGTTTTCAGATTCATCACTCAACAACTTCCTGTTTACCGTCAAGTATTTGGGCGGGGGTATCATCAGTGAGCAGTAGCTCACAGTTTCACTTGTTATCTCTGAAAGATGGGAATCAATAGATGTATTAGCACTTTTGGGTACTTAGCTAAATTGTCTCTGAATGACCTAAGATCTGTCTGGTAATAACCATCAAGTGGTTCTCAACTATAAATTGTCTCTGAATAACCTATAGCTAAGATCTCTCTGGTAATAACCATCAAGTGGTGCTCAACTATAAATTGTCTCTGAATGACCTAAGATCTCTCTGGTAATAACCATCAAGTGGTGCTCAACTATAAATTGTCTCTGAATGACCTATAGCTAAGATCTCTCTGGTAATAACCATCAAGTGGTGCTCAACTATAAATTGTCTCTGAATGACCTATAGCTAAGATCTCTCTGGTAATAACCATCAAGTGGTGCTCAACTATAAATTGTCTCTGAATGACCTAAGATCTCTCTGGTAATAACCATCAAGTGGTTCTCAACTATAGATTGTCTCTGAATGACCTAAGATCTCTCTGGTAATAACCATCAAGTGGTTCTCAACTATAGATTGTCTCTGAATGACCTAAGATCTCTCTGGTAATAACCATCAAGTGGTGCTCAACTATAAATTGTCTCTGAATGACCTAAGATCTCTCTGGTAATAACCATCAAGTGGTTCTCAACTATAGATTGTCTCTGAATGACCTAAGATCTCTCTGGTAATAACCATCAAGTGGTGCTCAACTATAAATTGAAACAATTTAAGGTTCTGAAATTGTAAAAAGACATGAAATGAGGTTAATGGACAATACTACACATGGTCTGAAATGAGGTTAATGGACAATACTACACATGGTCTGCATGCTATTTTGGACTTAAAGATTATGCACAACACATGGTTTTATATTGTTGAAAATTTTGATTTCATATTTATTTTTCAGGTATCATTTATCCATGTATCCCCTAAGATGGAATACCAGTCGAATTATGGTGTAGAACAGCTTACTGTTAGTGAGGTCTCCAAAGATTGGGCATCTGCATATGTCAGACCTAACTGTAAAATTATCAGAGGTATACATTTCTACTGAGCTTAAATTGTGACAAGGGGAAAAATATTTTATTTGCTCTTAAATTTAGAAATAATACATGGGACTTGAATTTATATTATTTTACCACGGGTTGGACCCTTTATGCTTAAGAAATAATTCATGAAAGCCATAGATTTGTTGGAAATTTACACATGGCCTGGGACGTGATATTCGAATTTTATCCTGAGCGTTAGTGAGGGATTAAATTAATGAATATCACGGCCCAGACCATGTGTAAATTTACAACAAATCTATGGCTTCCATGAATTATTTCGATTCTAATAGGACAAATACGGTCATTAAAAAACTGAAGCAAGGGTGGGTATGCCGTGTGTGTGGCTGTTCTTTTTCACTCCCTGTTAGATAAAGCTAAAACATTCTAATAAATCTGTAGCTTGCATGAATTATTTCGTAAACAACCGCTAGAAAAAATGTGCTTAATTCTTTTAATTCTGAAACCCATCATTTGCCATTTTTAATTTACATGTTTTTCTTGTAAGCTACTGTCAAATCCAAAGTTGATATTTCGTAACTAAGGAGCCACCATGTTGACTTGCTGAAATCAGTAAATATGGAAATAATGCAATAAAATAGAAAATAAAACAACACCTACCTCAAAAATCCATTTTAATGTAATATTTTACTAATTTCGATGGTTCACATAACGGAAAAACCTTCAGCTTTAGCGTTTTCATTTGTATGACGTTATGTTTTGAAATGACTTAAATGCGCCAAAAGCATTAATGGACTTTCGCGGAATTTTATTTTATTTTGATTTTGTAGATTTCCCCGAGCTCTTGTGCATTAATTCTTTTTGTTATGCATCTGAATAAGAATAAAAGTTCTGTAGTCTTTTTTTCAATTGCAATTTTTAAAACAATAAAATCGGCATAGCGTTTGCAAATAGGTTCCAATACATGTGGATTTACGAGGGAGGTATATTGTAACATCCATTATTATGTATATCTCTAAGTTTGCGCTAAGTATTGATATATCGAGAATTTTATCACGGTGTAGTTTTCAAAGCGAAAGAAGCACGTCATATTAGAATAAATATTTTACCACAAGCATTATAAATTCAAGCCCCTATGAATTATTTCAATTCCAATAGGACAAATATAACAGTTCTTTTGGATCCAAGTGCTCTAGATGAAGGCAAATATTTGCTGTTCCCGTGATTGAACACACTATTGATATTGACACAAATGACGAAGGAAACTGAATTAGTGACATGCTTGAACAATTTACAATAATATAATTAGACAGCTTTGGACTGGTTATCTTACTTTTGTCAAAGAAAATGGGCTTTAGACAAATTCTTATCATCGTTTGTTATTGTTTCCATGTTTTGACGACTTTCAGTTTCACATTAATGTATTTTCATATAGAATGCTTATATTCTTACATCATTGTTCAATTACATAATTTACACCAATTGACCTTGGGTATCTTATTCATAAAAAGCATATGACGTGTGAGTATGATTGGAACAGCCCAAACAAATCATGACATTGTTAATGCAATACTTATCCAGGTGCATTTTTCGCATTAATAAAAACCTCCCAATAATTTCTGAATTTACAGTATTTAGAATAACACATGTTGTTTAGAGTTAAACTAAGGTATATGATCTGGCTTTTTATCTATTTCAGCCAGAGTCAATCCTTTGCAATCAGATATTGTGTCCATGAAGGAAGAAGAATTAAATAAAATGTCAACAATGTCTCATGGTTACAAGTATGTCTGTGTAAAAAGTAGTTAAATTAAAAGATCACTTCATTATTATACCCCACGCAACGAGTTGCGGAGGGTATAATGTTTTTGACCCGTCCATCTGTCTGTCCGTCTGTCCGTCTGTCCGTCCGTCCGTCAGTCCTGTTTCTTGTCATCGCAACTCCTCTCAAACCACACAACTGAATTTCACGATACCTTTTTAGATAATAAGGACATACTATGTAGTTGTGCATATCGACAGGAAATTACGATTCAGTTCTTTTTCTAGGAGTTACGCTCCTTTGAACTTATTTACTTTAATGTACTACTGCAACAGTTTGTCATCGCAACTCCTCTCAAACCACACAACAGAATTTCATGAAACCTTTTCAGATAATAAGGACATACTACGTAGATGTGCATATCGACAGGAAATTACGATTCAATTTTTTTTCCAGGAGTTACGCCCCTTTGAACTTATTTGCCCAATATACTACTGCAACCTTTTGTCATCACAACTCCTCTCAAACCACACTACAGAATTTCATGAAACCTTTACAGATAATAAGGACATACTACGTATATGTGCATATCGACAGGAAATTACCATTCAATTTTTTTTCCAGGAGTTACGCCCCTTTGAACTTATTTGCCCAATATACTACTACAACCTTTTGTCATCGCAACTCCTCTCAAACCACACAACAGAATTTCATGAAACTGTGTAGATAATAAGGACATACTGTGTAGATGTGCATATTGACAGGAAATTATGATTCAATTTTTTTTTCTGATACAATTTTTTTTTCTTACACTTATTTTATTTCTCCAATGACAATGTGGGGATGTGGGGTATGTGAGCGCGCTCACTAAGGTTCTTTCATTAAAATTATTATTTATCACAAGTGTGATTTATAGAAGATAAGAAAATGGATAATTATGGGACCGAATTATAGAACATGAAACTAACTACAGCACCCAGATATTGTATTGAATAACTTGGTGAATTATTTATTGTGACATGCATAAAAAGCATATAGATATTATAGAATAGGGCTATATAGCAATGACCTTGTATGTCCTTCAATTTGTTTGTTGGTACAAATGTTTGACAGAAGATCAACAGTGATGAGTTGTAATGTATGATCAGATCTGTTTACCACCTACTTCCTGTTTACTTTGTAATGTTTATTATGATGAATGAACTTTAAATGTTTGTCACGCACTTCTCCAGTATTACTGAACAGAAAGGTTTCACATTTGGTCAGCAGCTTGACAGTGATAAATTTAAAAGTGAGCATTTTTCAGATCTGTTAGAAACCTACTTCCTGTTTGTTGATACTTTTATTTTGCATTATGTTGAATGCATATTACAATGTTTTCACACTTTTCTCTAGTTCTAGTGAATAGAAGAACAGATTTTACTACAAATTTGTCAGACACCTACTTCTTTTTTTATAAAATATGGTATGCCAACAATGTGTGCATTCTTGTTTTACATGACAATACCAGTGCACCTTAACATGACAATACCAGTGCACCTTAACATGACAATACAGTGCACCTTAACATGACAATACCAGTGCACCTTAACTGACCTCCATGTCACCTTGAGTTTAATAAAGAATAAATGACAATTACATGTGTTTAAACTAATTTGTTGAGTATTTCTTATTTCAGTCCAGCAAATGGATTTCAGATGCTAGCCAATGTGTTCCATAGACTTCATCAGTAAGTATCCTTCATTGTGTGAAATTACATGGTTCACATAAATAAAAAGATAGAGAAACATATTATTCTTTGAAACTACAAGGCAAAATGTTTTAAACTTTACAAGATTGATATTGGAAAATCCTAAACAAACAAGCCTCAACTAACACTGATTGGGTTGCAGACATGGTGGCTTTGGTGGAACATACATTGTAGTTTCCATTGAAACCTTGTGGAAAATAATACTTCCATCTTTTTTTTTAAAATCAGTAGGCAAATGTGAAATAAATTTGGAGGGAATGGTTTACTGAAAACTAATGTTTCCAAGCGATATAGTGTAGTGACTTTTGCATGAAGAAAAATAAACTAATATAAATCTTTAAGAATATGTCAAAATTGCATTATCTTTAAGGTGAATGAACCAAAAAATCAAGAAATCGTGAAAAATATATCTCGGTTAAATCAGATAGTAAGAACTAATTTATCTCCCTTGTTCATTTTGCATGGTGTAAAAATTATAACTATTACAAATGTTCACTTGGGCAGTATCTGTTACATCATTCCCCTGTTTGTGTATTTTACAGGTGTTCACCTGGGCAGTGTCTGGTAAATCATTCCCCTGTGTATTTTACAGGTGTTCACCTGGGCAGTATCTGTCACATCATTTCCCTGTGTATTTTACATGTGTTCACCTGGGCAGTATCTGTCACATCATTTCCCTGTGTATTTTACAGATGTTCACCTGGGCAGTATCTGTTACATCATTTCCCTGTGTATTTTACAGGTGTTCACCTGGGCAGTATCTGTCACATCATTTCCCTGTGTATTTTACAGGTGTTCACCTGGGCAGTATCTGTCACATCATTGCTCTGTGTATTTTACAGGTGTTCACCTTGGCAGTATCTGTTTCATCATTTTCCTGTGTATTTTACAGGTGTTCACCTGGGCAGTATCTGTTACATCATTTCCCTGTGTATTTTAGAGGTGTTCACCTTGGAAGTATCTGTCACATCATTGCTCTGTGTATTTTACAGGTGTTCACCTTGGAAGTATCTGTCACATCATTGCTCTGTGTATTTTACAGATGTTCACCTGGGCAGTATCTGTTTCATCATTTTCCTGTGTATTTTACAGGTGTTCACCTGGGCAGTATCTGTTACATCATTCCCCTGGATCATCTGAATGTCAGATTAAAAAGGCAACAGAAAATAATAAAAGGTAGGTTATACATGGAGAAAGTAATAAAAGGTTGGTTATACCTGGAGTTAGTTAGATTTAATTTCCTCTGTGGCAACATGGATCAAGATACATAGAATACCTGTGTGTCCTGTCATCTGTGTCATCCATTTTGTAAGTACATTCATTAAATGTCAATGTCACTGTATACCAATCACCAAATATCTTTAAAGTATTTAATGAGAAAAAATCAACAGGCCCACTCCAAGACCAGACAACAGTAAAAAATCAAAGCACGAAAGCGCTGTAAAGGCAGTTAATTACAGGTTGTGTGTATTTTAAGTCCAGTTATATCATTATCTTGCATAGTACAGGTGGCTTTCAGTATTTAAGATTTAGAGTTCTCTAATGATATTGAATAAGTTTTATGAATGTCATATTCTGAGCACTATATGAAGGCGATTGTTCTCACTTGTTTATGAACTAGTGCATTATGTCCAGTTTGTACCTTTTTTATCTATGTTTATAGTCAAATTAGTTATCAAAGGTACCAGGATTATAATTTAATACGCCAGACGTGTGTTTCGTCTACATAAGACTCATCAGTGACGTTCAGATCAAAATAGTAACAAAGCCAAACAAGTACAAAGTTGAAGAGCATTGAGGACCCAAAATTACAAAAAGTTGTGCCAAATACGGCAAAGGTAATCTATTCCTTGGATAAGAAAATCCTTAGTTTTTTCATTGGCAATCATAACACATCTCCTTATTTATATAATGATCTATATTCAACGACCTCAGGTACAAAAAAAATGTATGTAACTAAACTATGATGGGAAACCTTTGACTTCTTTCTTTATATAAACTTTTGATTTGGTACCATAGAACTATGTAGAGTAAATGTACATTGCAACGTGTCAACTCTTTCAACTCCAAGCAAAATTATATTTCCAAGCATAAAGTAATTTATGAATGAAATAAAATGCTCCGCTGGGGCGCAGCTTGATACGACCGCAGAGGTCGAACCCTGAACAGTTGGGGCAAGTATGAACACAACATTCAAGCTTGATTCAGCACTGAATTTGGATTGTAATTAAATATTTGACACAGCATAGGTTTCTGACACAGAATGAAAGTGGTCTAAGATACTTAAAAAAAATTTAATTTACCTATTCAAACCATATCATTATTATTTGCTTTTATATATAAATCAGAAATAACCAATTTAAAATGGAAAATTTTAAAGAAAAAAAAGGAAAAAGAATCCCCCCCCCAAATTTTTTGAACCCCCTTATGATTCATCACCCCAAAACTCAATCCCAGCCTTCCCTTTGTGGTATGGTACCTTGCAGTACAATTTCAGAGAGATCCATACACTTGAACACAAGTTATTGTCTGGAAACTAGAAAAATGCTTGTTTTTTGGCCCCTTTTTGGTCCCAAATTCCTAAACGTTTAGGGCAATTACCCCCAAACTCAAACCCAACTTTCCCTTTGTGATATGGAACCTTGTAGTACAATTTGATAAAGATCCATACACTTACACACAAGTTATTGCCATGAAACTAGAAAAATGCTTGTTTTTTGCCCCTTTTTGGCCCCTAATTCCTAAAATTTGGAGGCAATTACCCCCAAAATCAATCCCAGCATTCCCTTTGTGATATGGAACCATGTGATACAATGTCAGAGAGATCCATAGACTTACACACAAGTTATTGTCATGAAACTAGAAAAATGCTTGTTTTTTGCCCCTTTTTGGCCCCTAATTCCTAAAATTTGGAGGCAATTACCCCCAAAATCAATCTCAGCATTCCCTTTGTGGTATGGTACCTTGCAGTACAATTTCAGAGAGATCCATACACTTGAACACAAGTTATTGTCTGGAAACTAGAAAAATGCTTATTTTTGGCCCCTTATTCCTAAACTTTTTGGGCAATTACCCCCAAACTCAATTCCAGCTTTCCCTTTGTGATATGGAACCTTGTAGTACAATTTCATAAAGATCCATACACTTACACACAAGTTATTGCCATGAAACTAGAAAAATGCTTGTTTTGTGCCCCTTTTTGGCCCCTAATTCCTAAAATTTGGAGGCAATTACCCCCAAATTCAATCCCAGCATTCCCTTTGTGATATGGAACCTTGTGATACAATGTCAGAGAGATCCATAGACTTGCACACAAGTTATTGTCATGAAACTAGAAAAATGCTTGTTTTTTGCCCCTTTTTGGCCCCTAATTCCTAAAATTTGGAGGCAATTACCCCCAAAAATCAATCCCAGCATTCCCTTTGTGATATGGAACCTTGTGGTACAATGTCAGAGAGATCCATACACTTACACACAAGTTATGTCTGGAAGTTACAAAAATGCTTATTTTTGGCCCCTAATTCCTTAACTGTTGGTACCATAACCCCCAAAATCAATCCCCACTTTCCTTTTGTGGTATTGAACCTTATTTTAAAATTTCATTGAGATCCATTCACTTAAACTAAAGTTAGAGTGCGAAAACTAATGTGTCTTCGGACGACGACGACGACGCCAACGTCATACCAATATACGACCACAAAAATGTTTTTGCTGTCGTATAAAAAGGAGTTCTTAATTAAGAAATAAACTGATTCGCTGAGCAGAGCTGGATACACCCGCAGAGGTACTACCCTGAACAGCTGGGGCAAAAATGGACACAATATTCAAGCTTGATACAGGTCTGAATTTGGATTGTAATTAAATATTTGACATATTATAGTTTCTGAATAAATGTAGTCAATGAACTTGAAATCGGTTATATGAATTGAATTTATATTCAATTAAAGATTTCTTGCTGTTGTGCAATACACTGTGCTGTTGTGCAATACTTAATAAATCTGTTGCCAGACTATAAACAAATAAAGTTCAATTTCTTCTCAATGTCATATTTGAAATTGATGAAAATCAATAGGGAGATTACATCAATAGCTATAAATAATTCACCACGGTTCATGTGAACTGCTTAAAGCATTTTTGAGTTGTTGTCCAAAGACTGGAAAATCCCCCCTTTTTTAATGAATAAAACCCCATAACTCAGAAATGTAAAATCTAAAATTTATAAAATTCTAAAGGGAGCTTACGGATTGATTATTTAGTCTTAGATGCAAGATTTTTTTATCAGTTGTTAGTGGCTTTGAACTAGCTGTCAGTAACTGCGAGTACTCTCAGATTTGTACTTAGTGTCTTTTTGTTGTTTGGATGTACAACTACCCGACCACGTCCACTTGTATTTGTATTTATCCATCTGATGAGTTTAGCCTCTTTCAACTGATTTTTATAGTTCTTTCTTATATTGTACTGTTACACCACTGTCCCAGGTTAGGGGAGGGTTGGGATCCCGCTAACATGTTTAAGCCCGCCACATTCTGTTTGTACATGTATGTGCCTGTCCCAAGTCAGGAGCCTATAAAAGTGTAATTCAGAGGTTGTCGTTTGTTTATGTGTTGCATATTTGTTATATTTGTTCATTTTTTTACATAAAATAGGCCGTTAGTTTTCTTGTTTGAATTGTTTTACATTGTCATTTCTGGGCCTTTTATAGCTGACTGTGCGGTATGGGCTTTGCTCATTGTTGAAGGCCGTACTGTGACCTATAGCTGTTAATTTCTGTGTCATTTGGTCTCTTGTGCATGTGTGGAGAGTTGTCTCATTGGCAATCATACCACATCTTCTTTTTTATATTTACATCAACAGATATAAAAAATTCACCAAAGTCAAGGTGAGACAACAAAACTTAGTTGTAAGATCTCTGAAATTTTTTACAGGGTACGAGTTTTTCTCATTGTTGGAGATTGTACGGTGACAGTAACACCTGTAACTGCTTAAACCCATTTCTTATGCACTTTAGTTTGATAAACTCACTGAATATCATACCACATCTCCTTATTTTTATATGCATTACAATTTACATGTGCATGTAATTGTAAATATATATATATCAGAACAAAATTCATTGCGTCACTTTTATTTATGCATCCTTTGGCACAATACAAGTTCTAAAATTACACAACATAAAACAACTAAATGTTATTTCAGATGAAAGTTTTGTTTCAGTTCCATTCATAGGATTTATTAGAATTTTGTATGTTTTGCCAAGTCCAATAATTCGCTCTATGTGACATAGAGACATAGTTGACTAAACCACCAGGTGTCGAACATTCAAGAATTTTCAGTGTTTCTGTTTTTATTTGATGAAAAGGTTGCCTGAGCTCTAGGAGCTTTAGGTTTTATCACGGGATATTCTGAGCTGTCAATAATAATCCAAGTCGTAGGAAACTTTAATTTGAAGTTGGATGGTGAAAAATACCTGACTAAACCACTAGATGGCCAAGTGTTAGCCTCACACCACTGTTTAGACATAAAAACAATCCATGTATACACAATATTCTTAACACTAGATTCAATCTAGAATCTAGACAGTTCAAAGTTGGTTGTATGATGCCTCAATTTCATCAAAGTCATAAAAAAACTGATTTTCAACTGACACCCTATCAATTTGAAAATATATGTATCTCAAACAATGTGCTGCTGGACCAAGTGTGGTCAAAACAAATAAAAATTTAGTATACAACTCTAAACCGGTATAAAAATGCATGGCTGTGTCACGTGTCTTCATTTCAAAATTCTCTGCTGAAAACATAGGCATTGATGGTGTTTGCGTAATTCCATCTGTGAAGCTCAACATTAGCTAGGCAGTTGTTGGTGGACAGTCATAAATCCTTTCTGCAGTATGAATGACTTCTTCAGGAAAACCAACTTTACAATCAAAACTTTCCTCTAGATTTCTACTACAATATTCATCAAGTTTAGTTTTTTTGTTTTCACAGGAAACTGCCCTGATTTTTCTTTTTGTGGACGATTCAGTCTCTTGCTTGGTCCAGGAAAATAGGCTGGGAATTGCAGTAGACTTAAGTCTCTGTATGGTGGGTTTGCGCCCTGAAAAAGGTTATAAAACATTAGTTTTTTTATAATTAAATGAAATTCCATTAGCAATGTATACTTTGTACTACCTGGCGAAATATTAACTAGATTTATTCATTACAATCTGGATAAAACTATGTTTGCCTGATTCAATGTATGTTATGTCAATCCAAAGGACAAACAATGAGAGACTTATGCAACAAACGTACATTGTTTGTACCTAAATAACTATAATATAGATGAGAGCATGTCATTATTTTGTTCCTGTTAACATTGTCATTGATATTTTTCAAGAAAGTCTATGAGGCATAGCTTATGCATTCCTGTCATTACTACATTAGCATAATTACTGCTAAAATAATTCTCAGTATGATATACCTCTTGTAAGAAATCATTATAATTGTAGCAATCACCAAAAAATCTCAAACAGATCACATTGAATCGTAATCCAAAAAATTATGACGTCTTGAATTACCCACCCCCTTTTATTCTAAAACGATAATTGCTGTTGTAAACAGATTTTGGTTTATTCGCATGGCGATTACATATATAACTATATATTTCACAAGGAAAATAGAGTTTTACCATGAATAGTTTCCTGCACGTAGTCTTTTTCAGTAAAACGTGCCTTGCAAACAACAGCTGATTGAGATGGACTCCACGATATCATCGTGTTCTCGTCCAATCTGCGTATGGGCCATGGCGTTGATCCAACTTTTCCTTCTTTTTAAGTCATTTGGAAATGCATGTCCTCCTCTTAAATGACATCCAGGTACACAACAACAAGTACTTGGCATCGTTAATTAAAAATATAACTGAAATAGTTGCACAGTGCAGAAACCGGAAGTAGAGGAACAGGATCCGCTACCACGGCGCCACCTATTCAGGAACGATAATTTGCTACTTTATATAACTGCGAAAATAACGTTAGACGGGTTCACGTGCATAAACAGAAATGCGCTTTAAATTGTATAATATAATTCATGTTCAGTCGACCTTTAATTATTATATCAACGACTGAAATGATTTATAAACATCTAGATTGCAGATAACACTCGAAATTAACCCGAGCTCTTTCCACACGGAATTCAAATAATTCTTGTTTGTCAATCGGTTGACTGCTTATAATGCAAAATACTAATATATCAAAAGTTTTTAAAACTAACAAAACACAATGATCGTTTCTCTATTTCCCAATGTAAATGAAATGAAACAAAAAACATTTTATATCGCAATAAGAAGAGGAGAGAATTCAACATTTCCGGATCTACTTGGAGTCTAATGACCCCCCACGTAGATAAGTTGGATATCGCGGAAGGAAGGATTAACCCGGCAACTAGAAAGGCATTAAAGCACTGCCTTTAAAAACAAAGAGAGGATTGTATTATTTTTTATTTGTTTGTTGCTTTTTTAGACTTTTTAAAATAAAGGAAATTATTATCTTTGTATATAGGGGCACTTATGATTTACATATGAACCACTTTGGATTATTGGGAGGTGAAAAAGATAGCCATCAGATACCATGGATACCTATAGATACTAACTTTATACAACAAAGATTTCATAAGAAAGGAAGAATACCAGCTACATTTGAACCAAGAGGTAATAACGTTACTACAGAGGTAATAAAGTTACTACAGAGGTAATAAAGTTACTACAACTTATAGTTAAAATATTTTGTATGGGTTTTTTTCCAGAACAGGTATGCAGTATGAATCATGTTGGTTGTTTATGTTAAAGCCATAACCTAAGCTAAATTACCCAACTAAATACAGATAAAACTTACCATTCCTAAAAACATATCATTTATGTTACAGAATAATTGGTTTTTAGTAGTGATATCAACTAGCACTGATCAAGTACTCAAGTATTGCTCGGTAGTAAAGAGTGTCAAATACGCCTTCTTATCATAAAATTAATTTTCTTGAGAACTTTCTGAGAGAATTATATAGACACCTGTCAAATTTCTGCATTTTCCAGTACATTTCCTATGTTTCAAGGCTTTTTATTATGTCACAGTAAGAACAGATTGATCAATGACATCATTTACACTGATTGACCATGGGTTTTGTGGTGTAACTCATTCATAAAAAACAACTGGAGATGGGGCAGTAGGATTCACTTATTAATCATGGCTAAAGTAAGTATGGTTGTGCTCAATTGTCATTTAAAATGCCTCTAAATCTAATCCTCAGTGAATGGGAAAACCAACAAGTACTCAATTAGTTATTCTTTACCAAGTTGACATCCCTAATTTTCATTGTTGTTTGTCTTCCCTTTTCAAGATATTAAAATATTCTCTTCTGAAATCTTTGAGTTGTTTAAAAATTATGTTGACTTTACCGGACAAGCAACAAATATGGCCACTGTTTCTGTAAATAGTATATAATATTGTAAAATCTGCAACATTGTAGGTTATTTAATGAAATAATGCTGATTTTGAAGTTTACTGTTACTTATATTAATAAGATGATGCAAATAAATTGTTGATTTCAAAGTGAAAAACTTTTATTTGCATGACTGTTTTTTATAAAAAATGGCCATGAATCGTTTGTAGGGCAACTTTTATGAAGCTTCTGTACTTTGTAATCACTTTTTTACAGTTATAAAGATCATAAGAATTTCAACAGGTTTTTTTTTTTTTAGCCAATGTTCTGTATGTAATTTTACAATTAGTAGGAATAACATACGACAAGTCACATATCACATGAATTTTCTGCTCAGTATTTAGTCATCCTTTTGAATTTTATTGGATTTGGCCCAATTTATCAACTTTTTATACGACCGCAAAAAATTTTTGCGGTCGTATATTGGTATGACGTTGGCGTCGTTGTCGTCCGGCGTCGACATCCGGCGTCGTCGTCCGAAGACGCATTGGTTTTCGCACTCTAAGTGAATGGATCTCTTTGAAATTTTACCATAAGGTTCAATACCACAAAAGGAAGGTGGGGATTGATTTTGGGGGTTATGGTACCAACAGTTAAGGAATTAGGGGCCAAAAAGGGGCAAAAAATAAGCATTTTCTAGTTTCCAGACAATAACTTGTGGAACGGTGTATGGATCTCTCTGAAATTATACTACAAGTTTCCATACCACAAAGGGATGGTTAGGATTTGTTTTAGGGGGTTATGGCTCAAACCGTTTAGGAAATAGGGGCAAAAAAGGGGGAAAAACAAGGTTGTCCTGGTTAATGGACAAATACTTTAGTACAAAACATAATTTAAAGCAGTGTAAGGGAGATAAATCAAATACATCATTGAAATTATCTCCCTTACACTGCTTTTAAATTATGTATAAAGTAATGATTAATGAACAATTAAGATAATTTAAAACAGTGTAAGGGAGGTAATCCAAATACAACGTTTTGGTTACTTCCCTTACACTGCTTTTAAATTATGTTTAAAGAAATGCATATTTATAAAGGAAGACCAGTAAAAATATCTGCAAATGTTGCATCTTTTTTTTTTACAAAAAAATCCATATGAAAGATTTGACACTATATTTTAAATTCTATTATAAAATAGATTAAGTTAGTACTATGGTAAATTTAAATGGGTAATTATGGTTGCAAACTCCATTGGAAATTTGAATTGAGATTATGACCATATCTTGAGGGAAAGAATTTTTTTGGGGGGAAAAAAAGGGGGGGGGGGGGTAAAAAGAAATTGTGGGGGGTCAATTTTTTCTCATTTCAGATTTCAGAAATTAAAAAGAATTATTCTTCAAATATTATTTTTTTTTCAAATTTCAAATATTGAAAAATTTCAAGAAGTAATCTTTAATTGCACAGTATGGCGCATTAGATTTGTAAAATCTTTGACCACATTTATTTATTTGTTATGCCGAATCTTACCGTGTATTTAGATTTTTAATTTTGGGTCCAGTTTTCAAATTGGTCTACATTAAGGTCCAAAGGGTCCAAAATTAAACTTTTGTTTGATTTTAACAAAAATTGAATATATGGGGTTCTTTGATATGCTGAATCTAAACATGTATTTAGATTTTAGATTTTTGGCCCAGTTTTCAAGTTGGTCCAAATTGGGGTCCATTATTAAACTTTGTTTGATTTCAACAAAAATTGAATATATGGGGTTCTTTGATATGCTGAATCTAACCATGTATTTAGATTTTTTATTTGTGGACCCCGCTATCAAATTGGTTCATATTGAGGTCAAAAGGGTCCAAAATTAAACTTCGTTTGATTTCATCAAAAATTGAATTATTGGGGTTCTTTGATATGCCAAATTTAACCGTGTATTTAGATTTTTAATTTTGGGTCCTGTTTTTTAAATTGGTCTACATTAAGGTCCAAAGGGTCCAAAATTAAACTTAGTTTGATTTTAACAAAAATTGAATTCTTGGGGTTCTTTGATATGCTGAATCTAAACATGTATTTAGATTTTAGATTTTTGGCCCAGTTTTCAAGTTGGTCCAAATTGGGGTCCAAAATTAAACTTTGTTTGATTTCAACAAAAATTGAATATATGGGGTTCTTTGATATGCTGAATCTAACCATGTATTTAGATTTTTTATTTGTGGTCCCCGCTATCAAATTGGTTCATATTGAGGTCAAAAGGTCCAAAATTAAACTTCGTTTGATTTCATCAAAAATTGAATTATTGGGGTTCTTTGATATGCCAAATCTAACCGTGTATTTAGGTTTTTAATTTTGGGTCCTGTTTTTTAAATTGGTCTACATTAAGGTCCAAAGGGTCCAAAATTAAACTTAGTTTGATTTTAACAAAAATTGAATATATGGGGTTCTTTGATATGCTGAATCTAAACATGTATTTAGATTTTAGATTTTTGGCCCAGTTTTAAAGTTGGTCCAAATTGGGGTCCAAAATTAAACTTTGTTTGATTTCAACAAAAATTGAATATATGGGGTTCTTTGATATGCTGAATCTAACCATGTATTTTGATTTTGGACATTGGACCATAATAGGTAAATTAAAAAAATTCAAGTTCTTAGACCACATTCTTTCTGTGTCAGAAACCTATGCTGTGTCAAATATTTAATCACAATCCAAATTCAGAGCTGTATCAAGCTTGAATGTTGTGTCCATACTTGCCCCAACTGTTCAGGGTTCGACCTCTGCAGTCGTATCAAGCTGCGCCCAGCGAAGCATTTTATTCTTATTGTAACCCTTGGACGTAAGACTATTAAGCTTGATAATGTTGTGTTGTTCCATGTAAGCAATTTTTATATGACTGCAAAATTTGTGTGGACGTATAATGGTATGATTTTGTCAATGTCCAAAGACATTTGGTTTGCAGACAATAACTTGAGTATAGGTGTATGGATCTCTATGAAATTGTACCACAAGGTTTCATACCACAAAAGGAAGGTTGGGATTGATTTTGGGGGTTATTGTCCTAACTGTTTAGAAATAAGGGGCCATAGACAATAACTTGAGTATAAGTCTATGGATTTCTATGAAATTGTACCACAAGGTTCCATACCAAAAGAAGGAAGGTTAGGATTGATTTTGGGGGTTATGGCCCTAACTGTTTAGGAAAAAGGGGCCATAAACAATACTTTTTTAATACTTTGTATAAATTGCTTATTTCTTGACCAATTTCAATGGGGTTTAATTCAAAATCTTGAATTCTTTGGTTTCTGTAACATGCTGAATCTAACCGTGTATTTAAGATTTTGTATTTTGGGCCATGTTATCAAATTGGTCCACATTGAGGTCCAAAGGGTGCAAAATTACACTTTGTTTGATTTCATCAAAAATTGAATTCCTGGGGTTTTTTGATATGTTTATTTTCTTCCTCCTTTCACTACTCCAACAATAAAATTTTTCTTCACTAAATATAGTTGAAAAAACCAAACACAGTATAGACTATAGGGTTGTGAGTTTGCCACGAGATCCTTTTTAATATAACAAACATATTTAACATATCTACAATCAGCCATACATAAATCTATCAAATTCAAAATACACAAGTTCATACGAACTGAGAAAGTAATATGCAAGACGGTTATGTGGGGTGGGTGGGTGGCTGGGAAATAGTGTGTCAAACTAAATTCTGTGTCCTAAGCATCTTGTAACAAATGTCTCATTGGTCAAGGGCATCTTAAATTTTCTTTATAGAAGTACTGACAGCCGAAACTGTCTGTGCAGAAAGGAATTCAATGAGTATAACCTTATCTAATTTAAATATTGAAAACCATTATGTTAAAAATAGGAACGTAAAGAAATGTAATGACGCCAACCATGTATTTAGATTTTGGATATTGGACCATAATAGGTAAATGTCCAATATCAATTATTTAAGTTCTGAGACCACATTCATTCTGTGTCAAATATTTAATCACAATCCAAATTCTGAGCTGAATCAAGCTTTAATGTTGTGTCCATACTTGCCCCAACTGTTCAGGGTTCTACCTCTGCAGTCATATCAAGCTGTGCCCTGTGGAGCATTTTATTGCATATGCCATGCAGCTACTTCCTGTTTTCTGATAGTTTGAAATTTTACAACACTCATTGTTCACTGAAATTGTTTATTAATCTTTTCTAGGCTTCTGTGGAAGTGAATAATTTTATATTTGGTCTGGAGCTTGATTGAGTTGTATTATGTAAGCAATGTTGAAATCTGCTGTGAAGCCACTTCCTATTTGCTCATAGTGTACAGCACTTCCCGTGCGAGGAAAATGACTTTAATTCATATGCTAAATAAAATTTAGAAAATTTTATATTCAAACATTTACATCCCTTAACATTACATCAATGAAAATACATAAGTCAAATCCAATTGAACATAGTTTTGGAAATCTCATCAGTTATGCTTCAGTATGCATGTTACCTCGATCAGTTGCATGCAGTGATGCAGGTCCAGATCAGTTATTAAGTCTCCCAAACGAAGTTTGGGAAGACTTATTGTTTTTGCTCAGTTCTTCTTCTTCTTCTTCTTCTTCTTCTTCTTCTTCTTCTTCTTCTTTTGTCCGCACCCGTTCTCCAAAACCGCTTGTCAGATTAACTTAGGGTTTCACAATATGTTAGACTAACATATCTAGTGGTGCAATCAGGGTTTTGTTTGTGCAATGGGGTTTATAAAGGGGTACTTTGAGGGGCAAAAAGAAAAGAGGGTTTTACTATAGAATCCTATTGGATTTTATTTTTAAAAATTTTCAAATGAGTATAAATTGAAAACCATTTGTGATAGACACAATCTTTTTAATTGAAAATGTTCTAAATGATAAAGCCCATTTAATGAAATACAGGGTTAGTCCCCAGGGGTCACCCCACCCCCTGCCATTTAAAAAAGTTTCAATACCTTGTAAGTGGTCAAGATCTCCACCCCTAAACCACATATATTTTGGTTTGTCATGCTAAGATGGTTTGAATGATATACAGGGTTAGTCCCCAGGGGTCATCCCGACCCCCTGCCATTTGAGAAAGTTCTAATATCTTGTAAATGGTCGAGATCCCCACCCCTAAACCATATATATTCTGGTTTGTCATGATAAAGCACATAAAATGTAATACAGGGTTAGTCCCCAGATGTCACCCCCACCCCATGCCATTTAAGAAAGTTCTAATATCTTGTAAGTGGTCAAGATCCCCACCCCTAAACCATATATATTCTGGTTTGTCATGCTAAGATGGTTTAAATGATATACAGGGTTAGTCCCCAGGGGTCATCCCAACCCCCTGCCATTTGAGAAAGTTCTAATATCTTGTAAATGGTCGAGATCCCCACCCCTAAACCATATATATTCTGGTTTGTCATGATAAAGCACATCAAATTGTAATACAGGGTTAGTCCCCAGGGGTCACCCCCACCCCATGCCATTTAAGAAAGTTCTAATATCTTGTAAGTGGTTAAGATCCCCACACCTAAACCATATATATTCTGGTTTGTCATGCTAAGATGGTTTGAATGATATACAGGGTTAGTCCCCAGGGGTCATCCCGACCCCCTGCCATTTGAGAAAGTTCTAATATCTTGTAAATGGTCGAGATCCCCACCCCTAAACCATATATATTCTGGTTTGTCATGATAAAGCACATCAAATGTAATACAGGGTTAGTCCCCAGGGGTCACCCCCACCCCATGCCATTTAAGAAAGTTCTAATATCTTGTAAGTGGTTAAAATCCCCACCCCTAACCATATATATTCTGGTTTGTCATGCTAAGATGGTTTGAATGATATACAGGGTTAGTCCCCAGGGGTCATCCCGACCCCCTGCCATTTGAGAAAGTTCTAATATCTTGTAAATGGTTGAGATCCCCACCCATAAACCATATATATTCTGGTTTGTCATGAAAAAGCACATCAAATGAAATACAGGGTTAGTCCCCAGGGGTCACCCCCACCCCCTGCCATTTAAGAAAGTTCTACTATCTTGTAAGTGGTCAAGATCACCACCCCTAAGCATATATATTCTGGTTTGTCATGCTAAGATGGTTTGAATGATATACAGGGTTAGTCCCCAGGGGTCATCCCGACCCCCTGCCATTTGAGAAAGTTCTAATATCTTGTAAATGGTTGAGATCCCCACCCATAAACCATATATATTCTGGTTTGTCATGCCAAGATGATTTGAATGATATACAGGGTTAGTCCCCAGGCATCACTAATGCATATAACTTTACTGGACCAAACCAATTTTCACTGGACTTTGCCCAATGTCAGGCGACCGTGGGAATTACGAATTATGGGAGCTTCGTTTGGGAGACTTCGTAACAGCATCCTGTTACAATCATTTCTTGTTGGTCTTGTTTCTTATGTAGTTAGTAATTACAGAAAATATATACTTTCCTTTTGTCTCAATTATGACTCTTGGACCTCAAAAAGCATATTCTTTTTTAAGTAAAGGTGTAATAGAAATTTCAGATTCTATACTTTTCATTGTGTATTTATAAGTAAGTTTTTTTTTTCTTCAGATTACAAACCTGGAACTAAAAAGAAGAAGAAGAGAGGAAAACACTAAGATTAATTTCATTAATATATATATTTAAGTGCATCCAAGAAATCACAATTTAATTGTTCAAAATATTTTGCAGAATATCAACAGTTTTATACTATATAATTGTTTATAAATAAACAACTGCTAAACCAATGCCTCCTAAATTTTGTATAATTGTTTGTTAGTAAGATGTTGTGAGATAAACTTATTACAAGAGAGGTTTCCTATCATGTAGTACAGACACTTGTATTTGTTATTGTTATAATTTTTTTATGTTTGGAAAAATAAAATATTCCACATGCTGTTTTTTGTATTGCCTGAAATTCTGTCTACGAACGAACATGGCCACCAAGACTAAAAATAGAACATGAGGGGTTAAACTTAATAAACATCTAACATCTTGAAATTGCAACAAATATTTGACAGGTCAAAAAGCGCTAAAAGTTAAGGCATTTTGAAAATCTGGATTATTTATAAATTGTCAGACTAAATGTTATTTGAGTAATTCAAATTAATAATATTTTTTTTTGTCCCCCACGCAACGCGTTGCGGGAGACATAGAAATACTTGTTAGCGCTCTTATATCATAGGTTTATATCAGCAATGTCTTGGACAAGTTCAAAAATCAGTCCAGATCAATTATTTTTAAAAGATTTATGCCCCTTGGAAACATCTATTATGTGGAATATTGCATCGTTAGCGCTCTCATTTGTTCAATTCTTGCCAGATTTTTATGAAGCTTATATCATAGGTTTATATCAGCAATGTCTTGGACGAGTTAGAAAATCAGTCTAGATCAATTATTTTTTAAAGAGTTATGCCCTTGGAAACATGAATTATATGAAATATTGCATAGTTAGCGCTCTCATTTGTTCAATTTTTGCCAGATTTTTATGAAACTTATATCATAGGTCCATATCAGCAATGTCTTGGACGAGTTCAAAAATCAGTCCCGATCAATTATTTTTATACGACCGCAAAAAAATTTTGCGGTTGTATATTGGTATGACGTTGGCGTCGTCGTCGTTGTCCGGCATCATCGTCTGAAGACACATTGGTTTTCGCACTCTTAACTTTAGTTTAAGTGAATGGATCTCTATGAAATTTTACCATAAGGTTCAATACCACAAAAGGAAGGTTGGGATTGATTTTGGGGGTTATGGTACCAACAGTTAAGGAATTAAGGGTCAAAAAGGGGCCAAAAATAAGCATTTTCTAGTTCCCAGACAATAACTTGTGGAACAGTGTATGGATCTCTCTGAAATTATACCACAAGTTTCCATACCACAAAGGGATGGTTAGGATTTGTTTTGGGGGGGTTATTGCTCAAACCGTTTAGGAATTAGGGGCAAAAAAGGGGGGAAAACAAGGTTGTCCTGGTTAATGGACAAATACTTTAGTACAAAACATAATTTAAAGCAGTGTAAGGGAGATAAATCAAATACATCATTTGAATTACCTCCCTTACACTGCTTTTAAATCATGTATAAAGTAATGGTTAATAAACAATTAAGATAATTTAAAACAGTGTAAGGGAGGTAATCCAAATACAACGTTTTGATTACTTCCCTTACACTGCTTTTAAATTATGTTTAAAGAAATGCATATTTATAAAGGAAGACCAGAAAAAATATCTGCAAATGTTGCATCTTTTTTTTTATACAAAAAAATCAATATGAAAGATTTGACACCATATTTTAAATTCTATTATAAAATAGATTAAGTTAGCACTATGGTAAATTTAAATGGGTAATTATGGTTGCAAACTCCATTGGAAATTTGAATTGAGATTATGACCATATCTTGAGGGAAAGAATTTTTTGGGGAAAAAGGGGGGGGGGGGGGATAAAAAGAAATTGTAGGGGGTCAATTTTTTCTCATTTCAGATTTCAGAAATTAAAAAGAATTATTCTTCAAATATTATTTTTTTTTCAAATTTCAAATATTGAAAAATTTCAAGAAGTAATCTTTAATTGCAAAGTATGGCGCATTAGATTTGTAAAATCATTGACCACATTTATTTATTTGTTATGCCGAATCTGACTGTGTATTTAGATTTTTAATTTTGGGTCCAGTTTTCAAATTGGTCTAAAGGGTCCAAAATGAAACTTAGTTTGATTTTAACAAAAAATGAATATATGGGGTTCTTTGATATGCTGAATCTAAGCATGTGTTTAGATTTTTGATTATGGGCCCAGTTTTCAAGTTGGTCCAAATTGGGGTCCAAAATTAAACTTTGTTTGATTTCAACAAAAATTGAATATATGGGGTTCTTTGATATGCTGAATCTAACCATGTATTTTGATTTTTGTGCCCCGTTATCAAATTGGTCCACATTGAGGTCAAAAGGGTCCAAAATTAAACTTTGTTTGATTTCATCAAAAACTGAATTCTTTGGATTTTTTGTTATGCTGAATCTAACCATGTATTTAGATTTTGGATATTGGACCATAATAGGTAAATTAATAAATTTTAAGTTCTTAGACCACATTCATTCTGTGTCAGAAACCTATGCTGTGTCAAATATTTAATCACAATCCAAATTCAGAGCTGTATCAAACTTGAATGTTGTGTCCATACTTGCCCCAACTGTTCAGGGTTTGACCTCTGCGGTCGTATCAAGCTGCGCCCAGCGGAGCATTTTATTTAAATTGGTCTACATTAAGGTCCAAAGGGTCCAAAATTAAACTTAGTTTGATTTTAACAAAAATTGAATTCTTGGGGTTCTTTGATATGCTGAATCTAAACTTATGTTTAGATTCTTGATTATGGGCCCAGTTTTCAAGTTGGTCCAAGTTGGGGTCCAAAATTAAACTTTGTTTGATTTCAACAAAAATTGAATATATGAGGTTCTTTGATATGCTGAATCTAACCATGTATTTTGACTTTTTGGCCCCGTTATCAAATTGGTCCACATTGAGGTCAAAAGGGTCCAAAATTAAACTTTGTTTGATTTCATCAAAAATTGAATTCTTTGGATTCTTTGATATGCTGAATCTAACCATGTATTTAGATTTTGGATATTGGACCATAATTGGTAAATTAAAAATTTTTAAGTTCTTAGACCACATTCATTCTGTGTCAGAAACCTATGCTGTGTCAAATATTTAATCACAATCCAATTTCAGTGCTGTATCAAGCTTGAATGTTGTGTCCATACTTGCCCCAACTGTTCAGGGTTCGACCTCTGCGGTCGTATCAAGCTGCGCCCAGCGTAGCATTTTATTTTAAAAAGAGTTATGCCCCTTGGAAATATTGATTATATGGAAAATTTCTTTGTTAGCGCTCTCATAAGTTCAATTCTTGCCAGAATTTTATGTAACTTATATCATAGGTTTATATCAGCAATGTCTTTGACACTTTTGAAAATAAGTTCTGATCTAATATTTTTAACGAGTTATGCCCTTTGGAAATATTAATTATAATGGAAATCACATTGCATTTGCTCTGAAGCCTTCATTTCTCTAAGATATTAATAAAAAGTCTTATAGAACAAAAAAAGTGCTTTTTATACGACTGCAAAAAAAATTTGTGGGTCGTATATTGGTATGACATTGGCGTCGTCCGAAGACACATTGGTTTTCGCACTCTAACTTTAGTTTAAGTAAACGGATCTTAATGAAATTTTACCATAAAGTTCAATACCACAAAAGGAAGGTTGGGATTGATTTTGGGGGTTATGGTACCAACAGTTAAGGAATTAGGGGCCAAAAATAAGCATTTTTGTAACTTCCAGACATAACTTGTGTGTTAGTGTATGGATCTCTCTGACATTGTACCACAAGGTTCCATATCACAAAGGGAATGCTTTGATTGATTTTGGGGGTAGTTGCCTCAAAATTTTAGGAATAAGGGGCAAAAAACAAGATTTTTCTAGTTTCATGACAATAACTTGTGTGTAAGTCTATGGATCTTTCTGAAATTGTACTACAAGGTTCCATATCACAAAGGGAAAGCTGGAATTGAGTTTGGGGGTAATTGCTCAAAACGTTTAGGAATAAGGGGCCAAAAATAAGCATTTTTCAAGTTTCCAGACAATAACTTGTGTTCAAGTGTATGGATCTTTCTGAAATTGTACTGCAAGGTTCCATATAACAAAGGGAAGGTTGGGATTGATTTTGGGGGTTGTTGCCTTAAAATTTTAGGAATTAGGGGCCAAAAAAAGGGAAAAAAAACAAGTATTTTTCTAGTTTAATGACAATAACTTGTGTGTAAGTCTATAGATCTTTCTGAAATTGTACTACAAGGTTCCATATCACAAAAGGAAAGCTGGAATTGAGTTTGGGGGTAATTGCCCAAAACGTTTAAGAATAAGGGGCCAAAAATAAGCATTTTTCTAGTTTCCAGACAATAACTTGTGTTCAAGTGTATGGATCTGTCTGAAATTATACTGCAAGGTACCATACCAGAAAGGGAAGGCTGGGATTGATTTTGGGGGTAATTGCCTCAAAATTTTAGGAATAAGGGGCCACAAAGGGGCAAAAAACAAGCATTTTTCTAGTTTCAGGACAATAACTTGTGTGTAAGTGTATGGATCTTTATGAAATTGTACTACAAGGTACCATATCTCAAAGGGAAGTCTGGGACTGAGTTTGGGTTGATGAATCAAAAGGGGGTACAAAAAATTTTTTGGGGGGGGGGGATTTTTTCCCCCTTTTTTTTCTTTAAAATTTTCCATTTTAAATTGGTTATTTCTGATTTATATATAAAAGCAAATAATATTGATATGGTTTGAATAGGTAAATTAAAAAAATTTAAGTTCTTAGACCACATTCATTCTGTGTCAGAAACCTATGCTGTGTCAAATATTTAATCACAATCCAAATTCAGTGCTGTATCAAGCTTGAATGTTGTGTCCATACTTGCCCCAGCTGTTCAGGGTTCGACCTCTGCGGTCGTATCAAGCTGCGCCCAGAGGAGCATTTTATTTTAGTTATTGCCCTTGTACCTTGGAAAGATAAAATATGTGCAACATGGGGGACATTGGAACTCTGTTTTTATATTTTTTTTTAACTTTGAGTGAATATGTACATGGCAAAATTGATGACCAAGCAAACTAAGTTCCACAAATTATTTCATTGTTTGTTTGTTGACTGCTTAGGTTACAGAGTTATTGGTATAGGATGCTTGACTGCTTAGGTTACAGAGTTATTGGTATAGGATGCTTGACTGCTTAGGTTACAGAGTTATTGGTATAGGATGCTTGACTGCTTAGGTTACAGAGTTATTGGTATAGGATGCTTGACTGCTTAGGTTACAGAGTTATTGGTATAGGATGCTTGACTGCTTAGGTTACAGAGTT